CCAGAGGCAGCGTGACACAGCAAGACCTATAGACTCTGAATTCAAACTAAAAGCCTATAAAAAAGGATGGGTGAGATGGAAGACTGTGGGTAACATTCTTCTGCCAACGTCGAGGGGCATCAGTGCGCGCCCAACAGAGACCCAGCCCTTCCTCGTACCCGGCTTTCCTGGCCAGTTAGCCGCTACGAACCCAAGCTGCGAAATCAGGCCACGTACTCAAGCTACGTTCAGGACTGGTAACTATCCAGCAGCTGCAGAACATTTGAAGTGTGTGTGTGTGTATGTGTGTGAATATTAGGTATAAGCTATTGGTTATAGATCAAATTGTGTTATAATAAACGTGGCATCTTGCCTTGTCCCCTGAAACGATCCTGTGTAGTTTTATCTGTATCACATTTTATCTGTCCCTCCCCTGTTAACTCAAGAGTAAATAGTCCAGCTACAATTCTGATTTCAGCAGCAGATATTTTCACCCCTCTGGATCTATCACCTGGTGGTGGATAGAAGTTGCTGTGCCTCCCACCTCTCTTGTGTGGTGTAGTGGACAAAAGAGTGAGAGAGAAATGATTTTTGCAAACAAACAACAGATTTATTTAAGGGAAGTAACATCGGGAAAAGGAAAAAATCATGAACTATAAAAAACATAGGCCCTAAATAACCGGAACCTTGACTGTCTCTATAATGAACAGCCCCCGAGCGATGGGTGCTCACACCGTTTTTTTTTCAAGATGCATGTGCCAAAGTTCTGAGGCAAGCAGCTCTCTAGGAAACAGGTGTAACTGGTTCCAAATGTCTCTTGGCCTCTTTATGGAACTTTGGACGGAAAGAAACTTCACTCATTTTTGGAGACAATCTACCATTGTGCTTTATACAGACTTCCACTTCTGTCACCGTTACACACACTTAAGGAGTAAAGAGGTATCACCACCAAAATGACACTCAGAACTGTGGTACTCACGTCACCTCATTGCTCTCTCATTTAATTTTTGAGACGTTTTCTTCAGCCTTTGTCTTCACTGTTAAAACGTCACTTGTCTTGTGTTGTTTTCATTAGTTTTATTAGCAGTGAAAAAAAGGCCTATCTCTGCATAATGGGGACACCCGATATATTAGACACATCTGGACTATTCTTCAGTAAGTGATAATATCAGATCCTTCTCATTCTCAGTATGCTGAGCTGAAGGGTCTGTCTTCCCATCATCCAGATTGCTGGGACAATCACTTCTCACTGTTCAGTCTTTGTACCTCAGGTTGTTTCCAGTTATTCTTGTAGGCTGTCATTGTCCACCTTTTCTTTCTTCCCCCCACTTTCTGGAAGGCTCTTTGCTGTGACCTGGGTCAAACAGCACCCACTGTGTAGAGGTATCTGATCTTGGTCAAGAAGTCCCCATTGTATAGCACTATCGTTCAGAGGTTTCTATTGCACACAGTTCCTGGGGTAATCTTTATGTGTTTATGCTTTTATTCAATAAGCCACTAACATTGTCTGGCCTCATCCAACAGAGCACATTTGAAATACAGAGACATGGTCAATATTTCTAGCCTCAGATACAAACATTACATGCATACAGGTTGGATAAACACAGTCAATAGGTCTTAAGTTTTGCAATGATACCCCATATCAGCCATCTTGTATAAAGTATACATTAGCTATGTCATATCCATATCATAAGCATATTTTCATAAAGAATGTGGAGTATAATGTCACACCCCACATGTATGTTTGCTGATCTGCAAATACTAAAGGAGCATGCAGCTTTGGGTGAAAACGCTTATGACAATCGTGCACAGCCATGCAAGCTCCATGATTCTGTGTGAGATGGCAGACAGTGAGGAAGGCCAGACAGGTTAGTGGGTTTAGAAAAAAAGGTGTAAACGTTATGTATACGTTTATGTATGGGATACATATAAAATTAGTGGATGGTTAACAATGCATTATAAGAAGTTTGATCCCATGGCCACAACCACCCCTGTCTGACCTGTTTGGTACCCAGCATATATTGCAAAACCAAAGCTTCCCAAAATACAGTGGGTGGACAGTGGGATATCTATTCATGGTGCACCTCACTCTGAATCTATACAAGTGCTTCTGGTGAGTACCCTGACTGCTGAGGCAAAGAGTCCAGGAGGCATGCACACAAGTGACGTAGTAACCATAGTAAATCTATGCTGACATAACTTGAGTTAACCCACACTTGAAGTGTAGATATGGTCTTTGGTATACGAAATGTTTGGCAAAGCTAAGATTCATTCAGGTGTTTCGGCTCAAGGCATTGGAACTGGCCTTACTGAACCCTACAGGCTCAGGAACAAAGAGGCACAAAAAAAAGATATAATTTCTTTATTAAAAATTCTTGACTGGAGGGTGTATAACTCATAAATTTAGAATTCTTGTGGCTGTAAAGATATCTTGGGATTGTAGATGAATTTTCATTATACTTTGAAAGGAAAAACTATGAATGGATTGAACAAAGAATTAGATCAGTCCCTCAGGATAAGTAGATTGGCTATTAGCCAAGATAATTGTCACGGAGTCCCCGGGCGATGCTCTGGAACTGCTCCCTACGAAGCCAGTCAGGACTCTGGTGAAGTCTCCTCTCTGTGAGCAGACTATCTTCAGGGCAAGAAGCTCACACGGCTTCCTCCTTCCTGGATCTGACCTTGGAGCATTCAACATCCTCTCCCCCTCCGTGCGCTTCCCACAGCAAGTCTGCCCAGGTGGGGTCCTGGGGAAGCCAGAGGGTCCTGCACCCCAACTTCACAGTCAGACATGACTCTCAGCCAGCCAGTAAAACAGAGGTTTATTAGATGACAGGAACACTGTCTAAAATAGAGCTTGTAGGTACAGAGAACAGGACCCCTCAGCCGGGTCCATTTTGGGGGGCAGTGAGCCACACAACCACATCTGCACTTCGCTCCACGTCCCCAGCCAGCCCCAAACTGACTCACTCTCCAGCCCTTCCTCCTCTGGGCTTTGTCCCTTTCCTGGGCCAGGAGGTCACCTGATTCCTTTGTTCTCCAACACCTTTAGCTATCACCTTGCAGGGGGGAAGGGCCCAGGCTATCAGTTGCCAGGAGACAGAGTGTCGGCCATTTATATATGTTGGCCCTTTGCTTTGCAACAATTACATCCCCTTATCCCACCACCTAGAGACTTAAGAAATGCATAGGATGTTGTGGAAAACGAGTCATACTTTTTGTTTGGTTCAAACAATCTGAGGCCTTTTATTGAGTACAAGCATGCAGGGAGAGAGAGTCAGAGATGGTCACACGCAGGTGCCAGCCTGATTTCTCTCTGCCCTGCCCCTATAACACCAGTCTTATATAGGCCCATGTTCAAGTCGAACCGATTAGTAATTTTCCACCACTCAAGCATTATTAATAAAGCTTTATAAGGAAAATAAAAAAACAGCTTCATAATTAGCACAGTGCTGATGCACCTTGTCATTATCAAGATCTGCGGTTTGTTGTGGCAGCATTTTGACTAGGGACTTTTTGCAGGGTGGAGGGTGCATACAAGGGGCAGCTAGGGCCTTTTCAGAGGCCCTTTGGTTCTTATTTAGTTAGAAATTGGCCTAGTCCATTATTTGTGTCAAGTGCCATAGCCTAGCATACATCAATGCTTTAGCTCAAGCCAAGTCTTACAGGAGATAGGCCTGTAGGCCTCTTGCATTACAGCCCTTGCATATGTTGCATATAATGCATAGATGGAGCTGTAGAAAGGGGAGGGGGTTAGGTCTACAGCAATTGCCCCCACAAGAGGAAACTGAGGCACCCCTACAGTATTCAGAGGAAACATTAAGAATGTTCCCACTTTGTCACAATAATCAGGGATGCAGGCCCATGCTCTGCATGTCCCTAAACCATCCTTTGGCTGCCAGATGCTGGGAGTGGACAATGGGATGGTTCAATGAGCCATTGCCTGATCTGATCATTCCCTTAGAAGCACCTGGCATTGGCCACTGTCACGAGACAGGATATTAGATTAGGCGGACTATTTGTCTGACCACCAATATTTACACCATTGGTGGATTGACTCAAAACAGAGTTTTGACAATAGGTCAGAAATTCAGTCAGTGGAAGTCAGATGATCCAACAGAATAAACATCTGCTCTAAAAACGAGAAGAAAAAATTAGAATTAAAAATTCAGGGAATTCAGGGAATCCCAGCAGCAGATAAAACAACTTGGGAAACTGCTTGGAGACTCTATGCAATCAGATACAGTGATAAGGGATTCTTTGTTTCTGAGGGGATAGATGTAAAATGTTTCACTGAATTAAGTCTCGGGGATTATCTACACTGGCAAGTTAAAGCGCTCTAACTTGCTGGCTCAGGGGTGTGAAAAATCACCCCCGGCCCCCGAGCGCAAGTTTGAACGCTTTAAAGCGCTAGTGTGGACAGGCGCGGCTCCCAGTGCTCGCAGCTAATCCCCTGGTCGAGGTGGATTACCAGGAGCACTGGCACCCGCGGCAGCGCTTTGAAGTGTGCAGTGTAGACATAGCCTCAGCCGGTTAGATAAGACAAAGAGCAGCTGCATTGAGGAGGCATTGGATGCCTGTGACTTTAAGAACCCGGCCCTGGGAAGCCGATGCTGAGAGGTGCTGTCTGTGAGAGGGGAAATATAAAAAAGCCCCTTTGCCCCCCCCATTTTGGCAAACGCTGGTGTCTCAGCCCCACTGGGGTACCTGTTACCCCCTGTGCCTGCCTGGGCCAGGTTTTGCCCTCTGTCAGCACCTCGCTCCCAGCTTAACTCCGGCTCCACCCTGATTTTGCCCTTTAGCCCCTCTCCTTATCCTGCCTCCAGCTGCTTGACCGCCCCCGACCGGTCAATTTCCGCCCCCTGCGCGGACCCTGGCCACCCCCCTGCCCCGATTCGCCCCCTTTTAAGCCCTGTAAGTTGCAGTCCGCAGATTTGTACGGCTAGTAAGGGCAGAGTGAAGGGCTCTGGCTTCCGCAGATGTTACTGAGCATGCGCAGATGAACAGAGCATGCGCAGTACACTTACGCGGAGCCGTAGCCTGCGTTACGCCGGGCTCCCCAGCCGCGGCTCGGCCCGTGTCCGCGCTGCGCCGCGGGGCCATGGCCGGGCCCCAGGTGCTGAAGCACCGGCGCACCACGCTGGAGCGGGCCGAGAAGTTCCTCTCCGAGCACGGCTTCCCCGACTGCAACCTCCGGGGCAGGTGGGAGCCGGACCGGTGCCCCGCTAGTGCCGCCCCCTGCGGCCGAGGGGGGCGCGGGGCGCTAGTTGCGTCGCCGCACCCCCAGCCCCTGGTGCCTGCTGGCCCGGCGGTGCGCAGGGGCCGGGGCCGGGGCCGGGGCCGGGCGGGGCTGGGTTTGGACAGCGACGTGGCTTCTCCCCGGGGAAACCCGCTGCTCGGGCTGTGGGTCTGCCTGGGAGTGGCGGTGACTCCAGCCGTGCCCGGGGCGGGGGAGATCGGGTGGGATGTGCCCGCCTGCTACAGCACGGGGGCCGCCGCTCTGGAGCGTGGCGCAGGCTCGGGGGGAGGGGGGGTACAGGGACACTTACTTACAAGATCCTTCATTGTGCGTTTAAAATTAAAGCCTTGAAAAATCAAAGGTGCCCTGCGGCTCTTTCCTTCCCCTTTGCCGTTTCACTCTGCAGTTAGGCTGGTCAGTTTCAGTTTTGCTGCTTCTTTCTCTCCGATTCTGATAATCCTTTTGGGTTTCTCACACTGTAGGACGGAGGTGCTCCTTTTCACCCTGTGCAGCAGCTCATAACAGATCCTCTCACAGGCCCATCTGTCTTACCAGCACCACAATCTTCCTGTCAATATTCCTCTCAAATATTTAAATAAAAAGACTATTTTCATAGACCCTACCATGACTGCTTCTGTTCCTGGCAGCTGTCATGTAAATCCTTGCTCCTGCAACTGGTTCTGCTCAGGAGGAGCCCAGCGTGGAGGCTGAGCCTCACTGACGTTAATGGGGCTTCTGCATAGACGCACAGCCTGTCCATTTACAATAAATTGCAGGATTGGGGCCTGAATCTACGCATGCACAGGAAGCTAGATGTGAGATCAACAGTATTGCCACGTGTGTGTCCCCCCTCCCCCTTCCAATCCTGCCATGGGGCACAAAGGAGTCATGTAGGCTGGGTTGGGTGGGAGAAAGTGGGAACCAACCAGCCTCAGAGCAATACTGCTATTCTCACAGCTAGCTTCCTGCCCACGTGCGCTACTCTGATAGCAGCATGCTGCAGCCACTAACCTGGGAGGATGTCTGAAACCCCCCACTTGTATTACATTTTAAAAAAATCCTTCAATCCTGTTTTTCTGGAAAAGAACAAACCAATATTTGCATTGTAACCCTCTTCTTCATAACTCAGATAAACGAATGACATGACGGGTCTAAGACTACGTCACTCTGTTGCTTCAAGAGTGGAATTTCTCTCTGGACTATAAATCTCTTGATGCTTTAAGTCATAATGTGACTATTACTGCACAGCTAGTGTCTTTAAAATCTGTACAAGTAGATAACTATACCATGGTATTGCTATACGTGGCTCATGTGAGTACACGTAGTGACAGATCCTCAGCTGGTGTAGATTGTCATAGCTTCATCCAGTGCTAATATGGGGAATACTACTGTAACCTTTGCTTGCAAAGGTATTTGTAAAGCTTTGAATGGGGGCTACTGTAATTTAAATAGAAAGGAACAAAAGGGAAACATTGTTATGAAGAGGATGGTGATCAATTGTTCTCCACATCCGCTCAGGATAGGACAAGAAGTAATGGGCTTAGTTTTCAGCAATGGAGATTTAGTTTGGACATCAGGAAAAAATTTCTAATTATAAGGATAGTTAAGCTCTGAACAGGTTATCTGGAGAAGTTGTGGAACCACCATCATTGGAGGTTTTTTAAGAACCCCTTGGACAAAGACCTGTCAGGGATGGTCTAGATTTACTTGGTCCTCTCTCAGCACAGGAGGCTGGGCTAGAGGTCCCTTCCAGCCATACATTTCTATGATTGTGTGATTTGTGGGAACAAAGAAAATCTCCATGGCTTGGCACTTGTGGTAGTGAAAATATACAAGGCAGATACAGGTGTTCTGCTGCTGATGGTGACCACGTGCCACTCTGGGCACCCAGGCTTATTGTCAGGCTAACAAGAAACGGGATTGTTAGTTTTTTAAAACATGGTTTGGGGTTTTTTTAAACTGAATGTTTCTGCAATGGTGAACCACTGAGAAAAACCAAGTGTGACAAAATTTTAGTCTTGGTCGGGAGACTGGGAGACAGATCCTCGTACCTTGGGGCGTTTGGCTTTATTGCCTGTCATCTTTACTGCAGGCTGTTTGGGGACACCTGCCCCCTGGTGTCTCTCTCCTGCTTCCAGACCCCTCAGCGAATCCCACATGATGAAGCTGTCAGACAAGAATTCAGACCTGCGAAAGTTGGGGATTCCTTTGGACCCACGTAAGTACCAGCCTTAGAGGAACAAAGTGACATGAACTGTTTTTTAACTGTCTCTTATTTAAATGAGGAAGTGGTGTGAAGACACCATTGGTTTTCCCTTTGAGGGACACAATGAGCTCCGTGTGTGAGGTTTACTCCCCAGGTGCTGCAGATTAATCAGTAGAACTGTATGCAACATGTGTGTGTATACAGTTATTCTTTTCTACACCTAAAGATATCTTTATCACCTTGCATCTTGAGGTTGCTTGTAGACATATTAGCTAATCCTTAGACACCCCTGATGAAGTAGGACAGAAGATATTTAATCGTCTCTGTTTTACATTTGGGGAGAAAGTAAGGCATGGAGAAGTTAAGTAACTTGAGTGAGGCCGCATGGCAAGTCACTGTCAGAGGCAGGACTAGCCTGCGAGCCAGGCACTCTGAAATCTCTTCGGTCAGCCTTCTACCTCACTTTTTTGGATTCTTTCAGCTCCATGTTTAGGACTTGGATTTTGATTTATGCCTTGGGCCTATCGGCAAATCTCCAGGCAGAACAGAAGGTCTGTGATAATGCTGGGGCAGTTAAAGGAGGTATCATAAATACCTCTGTCTTGGGTGTTTATAATTTGGTCATAAAAATAAACTCCGGACTAAAACTTGACCCAAGATCTCTGGAAGCTAATTAGCTGTCTCTGTCCATCCAGAGCCCCTGTCATTCAACTTGACTCCCCCGACAGCTGTCTGTGTGGAATACTTCATGTTAGACTACGGAGGTGCGGGGAGTGGATCTTTGAGACTTGGGGCTTCATGAACTAGTGTTGATTTCATCCCTTTTCTCCCCTTCTGAGGCCTTTTCCTGCCTGGTGGGTAGCTGCTCTATCCCTGCAGTCACAATCTCCTCTGGTCTCACCCCATGCTGGTAATGTGAGACCCCCCTTTGCGTGCCTCTTGTGCTTCCAGCATGGCAGCTCCTTTGTCCTCCTGGAATTGCTACCTACAACACTGCCAAGCCCTGCTGCATTGGGGAATGCCATGGAAAAGGGAGCTGATCTCAGTGTCCTGTTTGACCTGCGCTGTCAGAGAAATCTACTGCTAGACAGCTGGCTGAGATGCCCTGGGTCTTTGGGGACCAAGGTGGAATGTGTGGGTGTCTCAGTCCAGTTCCTAGGTGACAGGTGTCTGTACTGTAAAAGCGCCTCTAAACTTCCCCCTCCTTGATGACCTTCTGACTGACTGAGCCATGGAGAACAAACTGCCCGTGGATGTTCCTGGTGCATCTGGCTTGATGTGTATGGGTGGAGGCAGAGCGTGGGGTGCTTGTACTGCTGTTGACCATGCCCTATTGTACCTGATCTATACAGAGCAGACCTCTGTCTGTGGGGCTGTCAGCTGAGCATCTTCCACTCTTAGGAAAAAATAAAAGCAAGCCCTGGAGGGATTGTCTCCTGTGTGTGTGTGTGCGTTGGTGTCTGTACATACTGCGTGGGTTCCCCACAGACCTCCTTAGAGATTCTACTGAGGCTGCATGTTAACTGTGCATGTTAACCTTTCATAGGGAAATGCTTAATCATTAATGGCTCAACATGAGTTCAGGAGTGTATGTGCCTGTCTTTTTCAGGTGGTGGACCTGCTGGTTTAAAGTGGAGCTTAGCATCCCCAGAGCATGGGCGGGGAAGGAAGTGCATCTCCTGTGGGAAAGCGATGGGGAGGGGATGGTGTGGAGGGATGCGCAGCCGGTCCAGGTAAGAGGAAGTACATGTGCCAATGCTAGATCTTCATTAGAAGTACATCCTGGGCAGTGCTGCAATCAATGCTGTTTCCATGATGTGTCCTCTGTCTCAGCCCTTTATAACGGGGCTGTAGGAATGCCCTGCCATTTGTTACGTGGTTTGAATCAGACTGGATTTTAATTTCCTCCTAATTATATAGCGCTTTTCCCTGTTTTCTGAGATTTTTAATGCAATAGTCCTGACCATTGGTCTGTGGCATGGAATACCCATGGGATTGGTGTTCACACTGGGGTTGCAGCAGCTCTCCAGGAGAAGCCAACCCTTTCCACGATGTTTTTAGTGTGTGTTTGATGGGGCATGGAGACATGTCCTAGGGAGTTTAAGCAAAATCTTCATTTAGTGGGGTGCTGCAAATACTCTTTGTACTAGTTCCATAGGCAAACAGTGAGCACAATCTCAGTATACAACTCCATGGTAATCTGCCATGTGTCAGAAGGGGCCCCTCTGCTGATATGTATCAACAAGCCGTGGGTTAGTGATTCTGTGCTGATGCAGAATGGCAGCCGTTCCCATCGGACCTGTTAACATCTCTGATGTGAGTGTTGTCATGGAGCTATTTTAATGTCCCTCCTCCCTGTCCTGAGACACAGGGTTTGACTAAAGAAGGGGAGAAGACCAGCTACATCCTGACAGAAGGCCTCGAGGAGGCGGAGCCTCACAGGTGAGCATTGACACTTGCTGAAATTCAGGGAAACCCCCACCCTGAACTGGTTGGAGGGGCCATGAGGCACTCTTGGCACAGCCACAGCACGCAGGGAAAGTGCCCAGGCCTCCCTGTTCAGAGCTGTGTGAAGACCAGTGATGCAGCATTGTCACCCATTGGCTGCTCAGCTCCTGAGGTAACGTCAGGCTGGATTACAATGGCAAGGTTTATTGAGTGCTGTGCTTCAGGGTGTGAGTTGCTCACTAGCTAGGATCAGAAAGAAAATTGTCCCCTGTGGAACAGTGTTGCGGAGTTAGGGAGGTGTAGTATGTCTGTCTCTGAAGCACTGGCCACCATAAGAGACGGGATACCAGACTAGACAGGCCACTGGTGTCTGGCCTGGTCCAACCGTTCCTGTGCTTTTGGCAGATCTTGTTTCCTAGTCTCCACGCAGAGAACACAGTGAGTTGGTCATTGATCTCTGGTGACTTCTGTTTCCATTTTTCTCATTTCTACAGCCTGACTGTCTATGTGGAAGTTGCTTGCAATGGTCTCTTTGGGGCTGGAAAAGGCAGCCTGATTGCACCTCCTGACCCTGACAAGAAGTTCACCCTGAACAAGGCGGAGCTTGTGGTCTTCAACAGGGATGTCCATGAGCTGCTGGTAGATTTTGAGATACTAGTGGACATGGCCAAGGTAAATACTTTAATCTTCTGTCTCTTTTATTCTCCAGCTCCTCTACCTCCCTCCCGCCTCCTTTTTTCATGTCTTTCCCTTGATTTAGCCTCCTTCCCCTCAGCGCTCCAGTCTCTACCAAAAAGACCTGAAGGAGTAGGTATTTGCCATCGTAGCTTATGTCTCCTTTGTCTAATCATGCCAGCTAACATCTGCAGCCTCTGAGTTCCAAAAAAGCAAGGTGCAGACACTAGGTGAAGGAAACACCACCTTTGGGTCTGTATTGCATCAGGCTCCACGTGTCATTGGTAGAGGTGGGAAGTTGGTAGGACACGGCTAATGGGCTGTCCACATGTGCAGCAGTTCAGCATGCTGTCCATCACCTCGTATAGACTCTCAGCCTGTTCAATATAAGAGTTGCTGAGCTCAGCGTCTATCTCTTCTCACTCTTGCCCTCCCTCAGCTCCTCGGGGAGGAAAACCAGCGGAGCTTCCAGACCCTGTACGTGGCCAATCAGATGGTTAACCTGCTTGACGTCACTGACCCCTCTACCTTCCCTGCAGTGCGTCAGCTCGCCTCTTCCGTCTTCAGCCAGAAAAATGGAGAGAGCCAGCACACTATCCACGCTATGGGCCACTGCCACATCGATTCTGGTAAGAATGAGTCCAGGGGATGTGTCCTTACTGAAACGTCTGTGGTTAGTAGGGCTGGCCAGTGACGCTGGATTCTGCCAGAGGGGAGCGGTTCTCAGGCGAGCAGGCACTGAGGGTTCTGTAGAAGTGATGCTCTGAGCCTCTAGGGGAAGGGACTGGGACATCCCAACCATCAGCTACGAAATGTACGTAGCCGTGTCAGCCTGGCTGGAGATGGTGATTTACCACAGGGCTGAAAGGCATCCTTTCCAAAGGGGCATGTCAAAGCCTTCCATGCCCATTCCTTACTTCCTTTGCCTGGCCCCTAGATTTCAAATTCCCAGTGGGGTTTTCTCTAGTCATGCTATTGTGAGGAAAGGAAGTGAGGCATCCAGGACAGGCAGCCGCCCCGTGAGCTGGGGACTCCTCAGGATTTACAACCGTGCTTCAATCCATTTTCATTTTAATAGTGTGATTTTTCCCATGTCTTCACTCCCCGCAATAGTTGGTTCTTGTAAAGGCAGCATAGCTTGGATCCCGGATGAGTAGGGCCCTGCTGAATTCACAGTCTATTTTCGTGAATTTCACGGTTGTAGCATTTTAAAAATCTTGAATGTCACGATTTCAGATATTTAAATCTTAAATTTCCCGGAGTTGTAGCAAAGCATGAATATGTACTGAAAACCGGAAAAATACAAACCTGTAAAGCCCTTAAGTCAGCGTTTCTCAAACTGAGGGTCCCAACCCAAAAGGGGGTTGCAAAGCTATTGTAGGGGTGGTTGCAATATTGCCACCCTTACTTCTGTGCTGCCTTCAGAGCAGGGTGGCTGGAGCATGGCGGCTGCTGGACGGGTGCCGAGCTCTGAAGGCAGCGGCGCCACCAGGAACAGCGCAGCCTTCAGAGCTGGATTCCTGGCCAGCAGCCGCTGCTCTCCGGCCAGCAGCCGCTGCTCTCCGGCCACCCAGCTCTGAAGGCAGTGCCACCAGTAGCAGCAGCGCAGAAGTAAGGGTGGCAATACCATACTGTGTCATCCTTACTTCTGTGTTGCTGCTGGAAGTGGCACTACTTTGAGACCTTGGTGCCTGGCCAGCAGCTGCCGCTCTCCGGCCACCTAACTCTGAAGGCAGCATAGAAGTAAGGGTAGCAATACTGCGACCCCTATACAACGGGCTTGAGACCCCCTTTTGGGTTGGGATCCCCAGTTTGAGAAACGCTGTGTACTTGTATATACTTTTACCCTATAGTATAAAAGAGTATAGTATAGGGTAAAAGTACTCAAAAGATCAGATTTCACAGGGGAGACCAGATTTCATGGTCTGTGACACTTTTTTCACGGCCGAGAATTTGGTAGGGCCCTACAGATGAGGCTCAGTTGTGTCTTTCCAGCCAGGGGAAGGCAGCACACAATGGGCACTAGCAGGCTTCAGGCTGTGTGTGTATATAAAATAATGGCCATTTAAAATGGAAAAGCCATGTGGCCACAGTGAGCTCAGCCTGCTTCTGTCCCTGCAGCCTGGCTGTGGCCATACGAGGAGTCTATCCGCAAGTGTGCTCGCAGCTGGGTGACTGTCATACGCCTGATGGAGAAGAACCCGGAGTTCACGTTTGTCTGCTCACAGGTGAGTTGGCGTCTTCTGCCCCGAGGTGGGCAGCGAAACTCCTGGAGCAAAGACAGGAGGAAGGTCAGTGCATATTCTAAGGAGCATGGTAAGTGGCTGGGAGGGGGGCTTCAATGCAAGGGACTTCTCTATCCCTAGTCTCCAAGTTGCTTCTACCATGCTCCCAAACCCAGATGCCAGGTGCAGATTTCAGCCCAAGCCTCCTGCCTGGCAGCAGAGAGCTGTCCTGCCAGGTCTGGGACCAGTCCTATTTGCACTGAGCTCCAATGCCTGCTGAAAATTTAGGTTTGCAGCTGCTGTGAGCCAGAAGCTTTAGCCAAATTGGATAATCTCTAGAATAATTTCCATGTGCTTCTTGGCTCCGTTTTCTTTGCAGGCCCAGCAGTTTGAGTGGGTGAGGAACTGGTATCCTGGGCTGTACGCTCAGATTCAGGACTATGCCAAAGAGGGACGGTTCATACCTGTTGGTGGCACTTGGGTAGAAATGGTAAGATCACAGCAGCCCTTCTGCACCACCCTCTGAGTCTTCTCTATAACAGATCAGTTACTGAGTCTCAGATGCCTTCTTTTAACATGCTTTTCTGCTCAGACCCTCAACGGGAACCATGAGAGGGGTTTTGGAACCCAGACCCTGGCCCAGGGAGCCCTCCCTTCTGGAAGTATAACCCTAACCCTACCATTTGGAACACTAATAGTACCTGAAGACCACTATCTCAGACCCCTACCCTTTGGGACATTAATCCTAGCTGTTGGGGCCTAGCACAGTGACCCCTACCCTTTGGAGACCTAAATGTATCCTGGAGAACCCTATATTCTGAAACCCTAACCTTCGCCAGGGGAGTCCTTTGCATTGGAAACCTAAATATAGTGTGGGGAGTCCTTTCTGTTGGAACCATAAGGCTACCTTGGGGATCCCTACCCTGTTTAACCCTGACCCTAGTTTGGGGAGTTGTATCATCTTGAATCCTAATGCTTGCTTGGGCAGCCCTGTTACCCCGGGTTTTCAGAACCCACAGCGCTGCAGTGGTAACTTAACTGTTTCTCTCCAGGCAGCGTCAGGAATAAATCAGTGGGGACACAGCTCTTCCATCTGATAAATGATTGGCACAAACGAGTGCTTTTACTTAAAACTACTTTTTTATGAGGTCTGAAGCGCACACACATCTAAATGCTTCAGCAGTAGGGCTAGAGCATTCCAAACATTTATATTTACCCAAAGTCTGAAATGGTTTCGAGTGATAGCCAGCCAGCTTTCCGGGGGCCCTTCTGTCCAGCTGATGGGGAGTTTAGGTATCAGCTCCTTGCCTGAAGAAAAGCTTCCTCCGACTGCTCCAAAGCATGCTTTTTAACTAAACTCTTTATAGATTTTCTCCAGACAAAGCGCATAACTCACAGTAGCCTCTAACAGGCTAACAATTTCCCTAGCAACAGCCAATAACAATTCATTATTCTCCATATAAGCAAAGCAGCTTCAGCCAAAAAAACCCTGATAAACACAGACAACCAGAATCAGGGTCAGTTTTCCATGTTTCCCTCCCACACACGCCTTCCCATGAATCTGTCCTTTCACTTTTATCTATCCCAGCCAGTAAAACTGCAGCTTGCACCTGTTTTTGTTCTGTCTGCCTAAGCAAGGCCAGATTATTCCTATGTGGTGTCCTCGCTTCCAGCTTATGGGGGGCTAAGTGCACAAGATGGCTGCGAGTTATATCAAATCCTGTTCTTTCACAACAGCCCTACCCTGGGAACCCTAACCCTCGCCTGGGGAGTCCTCTCCCTGGGAACCCTAACCCTAACCCTTGGGGACTGTTGTCCATTTAAACTCTAACCCTAGCCTAAGGAACCTTATCCTCAGGAACCCTAACTCAGGTGAGCCTTACCTGTTGGAACCCTAACCAGGGGAGGCCTATCCTCTGGAACCCAAACTTGAGGAGCCCTACCCATTGGAACCCTAACCTAAGCTTGGGCTGGCCCTACCTGATGGAATCCTAATCTGAGTTTGGGGAGCCCTATCTCTGGAACCCTAACCCTGGCAGTCCTACATTCTGGAACTCTAACCCTAGTTTGGGGAGCTCTACCCTCTGGAAACTTAACCCTAGCTGGGGCATCCTATCCATTGGAAATCTAACCCTAGCTTGGGGAGCCCTGCCCTCTGGAACCCAACCCTAGCTGCAGGACTCCTATCCATGTGAACCCTAGGCTTGGGAGCCCGACCCTCTGGAAGCATAACGCGAGCTTGGATAGTCCTACCAACTGGAATCCTTACCCTATTCCAGGGAGTCCTACCCTCTGTACCCCTAACTCTAGGTTAGGCAACCTTATACCCTGGAACCGTAACCCGGTAACACCCTCAGCTGTATTGTCAACACAGCTCTTCCCTTTCCCCAGGCCCTGTTGCCCTCCCCCACCCCTCTGGAGGGTGTGTCAAGTCCATACATGACTGCAGTGTCTCAGCTGGGAGCTGTATGGATTGGGCCTGCCATGGGGTGCATGCTACTGGGGTGGCCACTCGCCTTTCTCTGTTGGCAAGGGGTTCGGGAGATCTGCACAGAATTCCTCAGGGCTGCCATTGTTTCCCAGGACGGGAATCTTCCCAGTGGTGAATCAATGGTGCGTCAGTTCCTGCAGGGACAGCGTTTTTTCCAGCAGCAGTTTGGGAGGCTCTGCTCAGAGGTACGTGTTCCTCCTGAGTGGATCCTCTACGCGTTCCCTCTCTGTGTGTGGGGGAGGTGATGCATGTAGTCCCTTCCAGAGCTGATATTCCCACTGTCTGCGCTTCATTCTTGGTGGGACACGCTCACTTAGGAGTGATCTATCTAAGGGATGTATGTGGCCCATCACTGTGGTATTTGAGTTCTTTCGATCCCTTTTGTATCTATCCTCATGCGCCCCTGTGGGGTAGGGCAGTGCTGCTATTCTCATTGTACAGGTGGGGGAAACTCAGTCACAGACAGGCCCAGTGACTCGCCCAGGGTCACACAGGAAGTCTGTGGCAGAGCAGGGACTTTATTCCAGGTCTCCCAAGTCCTAAACTAGTGCCTGAACCACTGGACCATCCACAAGAAACTCCAGCTGGAGGCTGCTAGGGTCTTATATATATTAGTGCAGTGTACCTCTTCCTACTCCCCAGTATATAGGCCTTGAGCAGTTCATATAGCACGTACTACCTAGCAATATTTCCTCCAGGCTGTGGGGGCCCTGTGCAGGGCATTTGGGCCACAGTGATACGTGGCTGACTGTACGGGGTATCCAGAATTTGGGCCTGTTCCCATCTCTGCCCTTGAGATGTGTGGAGAGATAGGTGCACCCGGATACATTGTCTGAGAGACACCTGAGCAGGTGACGGGGTTGTGTTTTTCTCTCTCTCGCACGCTCTCTTCTCTGCTCCCAGTTCTGGTTGCCAGACACTTTTGGATACTCGGCCCAGCTGCCCCAGTTGATGCGTGGTTGTGGGATACAATGGTTCCTCACTCAGAAACTCAGCTGGAGCCTGGTGAACACCTTCCCGGTGAGCTGGGCTTTCCTGCTGTGGGGGTGTGTGTGTGTGTGTATGGGAATCTGCCCAGTGGGCTCGCGTGTGACCAAACTTCCTACTAGCTGAACTGTTCCTTCGGCTCTCTGGGCCTAAGCCCTCGTTCAAAGAGCTCACCAGAGCTGTACATGAGACTGACTGGATCAGGTAGTTCATAGCCCATGACAAGAGAAGATTTGGTTACTGATCACATTGTGGTAAGGTGCTGAAGTATGAAGCTGACAGCTTTGAAAAGTTAATGGTGGGCAACCAGAAGTTTCCTTTCAGTAGCTCCCTGGACTAATGTGCCCCACTCTGGCTGTCACTGTGGTGCCCCTCTGTGAGGCTGTTATAGACTCCCCCTTGGTGACATTTTGCTCTCTTCCAGCACAGTACCTTTTTCTGGGAAGGCATCGACGGCTCCCAAGTTGTGACCCATTTCCCGCCTGGCAATTCCTATGAGCTAAAAGGTCGAGTGGAGGAGGTGAGCGATGTGACATGGTAGGCAGATGGGTATGCATCTACCTTTCTGTCCCAGTGTACCCAGCTTGCAAGGGAATGTCACCGCCATCTGGGCTGTAAGCAAAGGCTGTTGTAGGGGAGCGCCACATGGCGAGAGGTGGGGAGAAGGTGATAGGACGAGCAGGTGGGGGTTTTAGATGTTCAGAGTAAAGCCCAGATTTGTCTGTCTGTGCAATGTGTCAGAGCCTTGAGTTTTTATAATTAGCGGCATTTTAAAGATAAATCCACAGGGGAGTGGGGAGCTGATGAGTCACTGCAGGAGGGCTCTCAACTTCTCCAGCTTCTCCTGTCTCCCTGGGCCCTGGTGGATGTGTCTCGGGAGGCAGAGCTGAAAAGAGAGTGAACATGGTGAGAAGACAACAAGCTAGTGCCTGATCTTTACGTCCGCAGGGCTCTCCTTGACTATGTGAGGGCCTGACACTACGTGTCATGTGTATACGTAATCTCCTCTAGATGCTGAAAACCATGAACAACAACAGAGACAAAGGCCGTGTGAACCACAGCGCCGCTCTCTTTGGGTTTGGAGATGGAGGAGGTGGCCCGACCCAGAAGATGCTGGACAGACTGAAGAGAATGAGAGACACAGATGGGCTACCCAGGTCCAGGGAGAGACTGCCCTCTCTTCTCGTGTGTCCTTCAGAGCTCAGTACCGACTGCTGACTCCTGAAAGCTTTCTGCTAACCCCTTTGGTCCTAGCATTCTGGAGAGCGGGGCTGGAGGGAGCTGATGATTCATGGCTGGGGCTGTTTTTCCCACTGGCAATCCATCGACTCATGCTAGGGAAGGAACCACAGGGCTCCTCGTTCCCTCTGCAGTGGGCAGCAGCTGCTAAGCCTGTCTTGTCACTATCTGCATTTCTCCCCCATAGGGTTCAGATGTCCACACCTGACCGGTTTTTCTCTATGCTGGAGAAGGAGAAGACCCAGCTGTTCACCTGGATAGGAGAACTGTTCCTGGAGCTGCACAACGGCACTTATACCACTCAGGCCCAGGTTACCACTTGCCCGGGATGGGAGGGGAGATAAGGCAGTGGGTGGAAACTATCTAGATCAATGTTAACTCTGACCAGTAGGGAACACTTCCACTCTGAATCCATCTCCTTGGTGTGCCGTCGTTGGTGCAATTTAGCACCATAGTAGGACCCGATAAAGACCTTGTGATTCTCTAAAGCTGTGAGCCCATGTAATTTCCCCAGTTAGTCCAATATAAGTTATCAGGACAGAGCCCTATGTGCTACAGTGATTGGTGCTCTGGCTGCACCTGAAAAATTAACAGAAAACTACCATCGGCGTGAGCCCTAGTGTAGACAAGACTCCTGCAGATGGTCCGTTTTGAATGCCATTTCTATTAGCCTTGTTCCAGTGTAGACACACCCTGTTTCTAGTCGGTTCCGCTTTCTAGGTCTCATGCTCTGGGACAGCATTGGTGGGTTGGGGTTTTTAGCACTGCTTTTGGTTAATTCAGGTTTTCTTCTTTACAGATCTTAAATCTCAGCTTTAAACTATTTGACAGGGTCTCTTTGAACTGTGTTTGAAAACAAGAGGGATGCTCTTGTTTGAACCAGAGATGATCTGAAGCTGCTCATTGGATCTCGGGTTGATTGCTGAGCCACTGGGGTTTTCCCTGTAGTAGGAAGGGGCATTCAGCCCTCAGTTTAGTGTGTCTCTATGCCTAACCTTTGTAACATGGTTCAGAAAGGCTGCCAACCAAAGCCCCTTGTTTCCAAAACTGACACGGCAGCACTGGGTGCTGCTGTCGATTTAACAGAGCATTGTGGGAAGTACCATCTTTCAGAACAGCTAGCTAATTTCTGAGCGACTGTAATCTCTGCTGTTAGAGTGGGAGGGGCTCTGGAGAAGGAACCCTCAAGGAAAAGAGAATCTGATTGCTATTTGTGAATACGTAATAGATACTGTCTACATCCCAATGTCTGATCTGATATTTTGCTACAGATGGCAAAAATCTCCTCTGATATAGCTCTTCCTAAAAACCTGTTTTCTCCTACTTTGGGATCAGATAAAGAAAGGGAATCGGGAGTGCGAGCGGATACTCCATGATGCTGAAGTACTGAGCAGTTTTGCTCTGACCCACAAAAATACTTTCCAGTATCCTTCCATCAAACTGCAGCATCTCTGGAGGTAAAGTACTTCGTCCGAGTGCCACCATTGATTGGATAAAGCTGCAAGCATGACTGGAGCCCTGCGCTGATACAGAAATGTGGATCTGCATCTGTGATAATTAACTTGTATCTGACCTGCAGTCCGCACTCCCCCTTTTATATGCATTTGCATCCGCACCCTACCTCACTGGTAGAGCTCTGCGTGCATACAAAAATTTGGATCCGCATCCGATCCGTGATCTGCAAAGATGGCAAACAACACAACTGCATCAGTGGATGCAGATATCTGCGGGTATAAAGTGGATAACCGCAGATTTGCAGGGGTCTAGTGATAAGCACACTCAGGTATATAAAAAACAAGCAGACACAGTGTTTTCATTAGATGAGATCGTAACGAACAGTGTATTAAGTAGCAAACCAAAAAATAGCCTCATTCATTTTTAGCGTAGACCAAACCCCAGACAATCTCACAACAGACTGATTTAGAAGAATTCCTTTTATGGACAAGTATGTCATAGTTTCCTGTATATCACAGGCGATTAGAAATACCCCTCTGGTCCTCAGGAGGCAGAACTATTGTGTGCCACAGGCAGAGACCAGGAGAGACTAAGATGCCACCAATGCCCAAGGTTACTGCCAAGGCAGGGAATTGAAGGAACAAGTACCTTTGTTTCTGTGAATTCCCAAACCTGTGCCCAGGGAATCCTCCCAGAAGAAGGCTAGGAAATGCCTGGCTCAGGTGACATCTAAGAGAGCTCAGGGCCGGCGAGCCGGCTGCTCTCTCTCTTGTCTCCAATAGCAGCAGAGCAGGGTCCAGCAGAACTCCCGTTTTTGATGGATGGAATGAAAGTGGTGACCTGAAGCCAGAAGTTACCATGCGCATGTGAGAACTGCCTGACTATTGCAGTCCCCATCAGCCGGCTGCAGGATACAAAGGGCTTTGTCCTCTAGCACGAGGGTGGCGTGGTTCATTCATAGCGATCCTAATCCGTAGCTCTCTTCTGGTTCTTGCCTCGGTCCCCTGTGCTCAGGCTGCTGCTCCTGAATCAGTTCCATGACGTGTTGCCGGGCAGCTGTATCCAGCTAGTGGTGGAGGATGCCATGAGATACTACGCAGGTGAGGAGTGATTTGTGCTAAGAGGCTTTTCCTGCCAAGTGGGTTGGGTTCATTGTAACACCCTCTGTCAGGTGGGCTTTGAAAGGTTTTGTTCCTGCTTTCTGACCTGACTCTTCACCTGGTTTGGTGAATGTTTGGTTGTGGTTTGGTTTTGTTACAAGTCTGAGAGGCATCGGGGACTCTACATTAATAGGGGTGCTCTTGGTGTCAGTAATAACTAATGGGACCTGACCTGATTTCCTGCCCTGCCCATCCTGCTTCCAGTGAGGCTTGTAGGAGGAAGGATGCATGTAGTGCCCTGGGCCGTGGCCCCCCTGTACTCAGCCAGTCTGCATTATGCCATTTGTCGATACCCAGAGAACACAAGTCCCAACTGTGTCTGGTTACACAGTCCTAGTCTGGCAAGCAGAGACTTCCCCCTATAGGTGGAGGCTCCCAGGAGCCCTGTGACACTGGAAGAGACCGTGCATGGGACGGGCTGGTTTGAGCAGTGGGGACGGGGAGGATTGTTGGGAAGGTGCTAGGAATGGCTGCAGAGATGCGTCAATTCCAAGGCTAGACGGAATCACAATGATATCACAATGAATATCACTGATTCATAGACTTTAAGACCAGAAGGGACCATCATGACCATCTAGTCTGATCTCCTGTACATTGCAGACTACAGAACGTCACCCACCCCTTCCTGTAGTAGGCCCCTAACCTCTGGCTGAGTTACTGAAGTCCTCAACTCATGATTTAAAGACTTCAGGTTACAGAGAATCCACCATTTACACTAGTTCAGCAAGTGATCTATGCCCCATGCTGCAGAGAAGACAAAAACTCCCCAGGATCTCTGCCAATCTTACTTGGGAGGAAAATTCCTTCCTGACCCCGAATATGGAGATCATTTAGACCCTGAGCATGTGGGCAAGCCCCATCAGCCAGACACCTGGGAAAGAATTTGCTGACCTCCCGTATGACACAGGCCAGAGAACTTCCCCAGAATAATTTCTGGAGCAGATATTTTAGAAAAAAAAATCCAGCCTTGATTTAAAAGTTGCCAATCATGGAGAATCCACCACGACCCTTGTAGGTTGTTCCAATGGGTAATTACCCTGACTGTTAAAAATGTATGTTTTATGGCCAGTCTGAATTTGCATGGAAGATGGAGGAATGTTAGGATGGTGCAAGGAGGGAATACAGAGTTTAACTGGAAAAAATGCAGCACAGAGTTAAACACAGCAGATGAATGGAAGGGAGTTGGGGGAAGTAGGGTTAAGAGTAAAGAGAACTTGCTTAGTAAGATTAGGCATGAATGGGGCAAATGGACAAGCAATTCTGAGGACAGTGTGTACTACATCCTTTCTCTCTCTCCATGGTCTTTTTGTATGTCTCTAAAGGGGCTCGCCAACTTTTGGGTGCTCTATAATTAATAATAGTCTGCTCTGAACTGAAATGACTTTTCTTTGCCCAGAAATCCGTAGCGTGGGTGGTCTCCTCATTGAAGATGCTGTTCGGTCCTTGTTTGGAGAACTTTTGCCGACTGGTCCCGAGACAGCAGAAAGCCTCCTTGTTCTGAACACTTTGCCCTGGGAACGGACTGAAGTTGTCTCTAAGACTGGAGCAAAGACCTTAGGTGCCATTGTCCTGCCTATCTAAGGACTTCCAGATCGTCCCCCGCAAAGCACAGATGCACCCTAAATCTTCTGGTGGTAGGGACAGGAGCAGAGGAGGGGAGGTGGACCAGGAAAAATAGGCCAACTAAGTGATGGCTGGCTAATTCCACTCACATGGAGGATACAGAACCATTGCCTTTCGCACAGCTGAGAAGGACATTGGCTTATCCATTATCTCTAGATCAGGGTTCTCCATGATCACTGTTCCCTCTAAGCTGTGTCCATGTGCACGCACACAGATCCAAACCCCGCGCACACGGCGAAACACCGCGCGCGCATTAGTCCCTCATCCCGACTGCACATCGGTCAGGACGCCCTTTGTCCTGATATCGGGGACCGCTCATCATCACCGCCAAAGTCCCAGGGCTGGCGTGGCGGCGATTCTTGGGGCAGCTCCTGGCGGTGCGCCTGCCTGCTGGCAGTGCGGACAGCCCCCAGGCATAGAGGCGGAGGGGGTCTCCATGTGCTGCACTGGCTCCCTCCTGCCCAATCAGAGCTGCAGGGGCGGGGCTTGCAGGCACTGGCAGTGGGCAGAGAGCTCTCTGCTTCCCCCGCCCAACCTGATCTGACCCTAGGAGCCAGAGGGACCTGCTGGCTCTTAGGATCGCTGCACACTGCCGGCGCCTGCAAGCCCCGCTCCACAGCTCCGGCAGCTCCCATTGGCACTTTTCCCTGCCCTCTCCCCTCGCCACTCTGACCCTAGGAGCCAGAGACCTCCCAGCAGGGCTGATGAGTGCAGCCAGGGAAGGGGGCAGGGCATGATGGAGTGAGTGTCTGGGGGGTCTGTGAGACTGGGCTGTGAGGTGGTGGAGGGCGCTGGGCAGTGGATCATTTGGACATGCTAATGTGTATTAAGAGTTACCAGTTGGTTGGAGGACTGATAGATCTGGACAGAGTTTATATTGAATGGGCAAATGAAAAATGTCGCAGGGAAAAACATTAAGGTTAGTTTAGCAGTCTTTGACAGTTCGACCAGTAAGGAAATTAAAATGCATTTGTAATTACAGTACATATCTTATTCTTGGCTGATAATCATTTATTGATTTTTTTTAGGAAAATTTTAAATTTAAAAAACAAACTCTTGTTTTTCTTTTTTTACTTATGATGTCTCTATCTGAAAACCCATATAAATTGACACAAATTGCAAATTAAAACTTTGTAAATGTATAAGCATTTTACTTGCTTGGACGCATTTGTCTCATGGCGCACAAATTTGAACTCGGCTTCAGAAATTCGCACAGAAGAAATTTTTTGTGCACCCGGCCTGTCAAAAATTAGAGGGAACATTGGCCATGATCTTTAGAAATAGGCTCCATCTCCCTCAGCACCACATGGAAAATTATTTTTATGTGGGAAGCTCCTGGGCATCAGAGCATGGGGGAGGTATTTCCTAGTGAAGAGGAGGCTCAATGCACGGAGCGAGAGAGAAGACATCTCTTAAAGGGCAAAGCGTTTGAGTGAACCGCTCTGCCTCTCTTCCTTTCAGCCCTGGTGAAGGTGCCTAGCATGGGCTACTCTGCCGTGGAGGATTCGTTAACACCCCCTCATCCCGTGACGGTGACGAAACAGGTGAGCCGCCCTGTGGGGTTCCTCGTTTGTACATCAGAAAGCTCCACGGGCAAAGCTCCCAAGCTGGATTTGCAACACCGTTTTCAGTAATTTGTAGCATTCCACACACTAACTCACTCTTTGGCTGATGCGGAGCCTGTGCTCTCTCCTGATTCTTTCCTCTTTCTCACCAGGCGGACGGCTCTGTGACCATGGAGAACGGGGTTATCGCGGCTCACCTGGACTCCATGGGGCGTGTGGTGTCGCTTCGCTTAGTGCACTCGGGGAGGTATGATGATTATTCTTCGTGTTTATTGCAGCTGTGCCTGAGGGCCAATCCAGATTGGGGCCTCATTGTGCCAGGCACTGGGCAAACATGGGAGCAAATGGACCCTGCCCCAAAGAGCTGACGGTCTACGTTGTTTTTATTTAATGTTCGTAGAATATGGATCTGCTGTCACTGAAACCGTATCCAGTGATTCCACAGACCGGGTGTGAAACCCAGTGGGGACTCATTTGGGGCCTCTTCTACTCAGTTTCATCATAACTAAGGCTGCCTGTGGGGCTTGAACCTCAGTCTGCCAAATGAAAGGCTGGTTCATTTCTCTCACCAGAGAACCTAAAGTGGCAGGTGTCTGTTTCCAGGCTGTTGGAATGTTGTTTCAGGTCACAGAATTTCTTGTCATCCACTGCAGCTTCTTGTTCCATTGCTGATCCTCTGCCTCCCTGCTTTGTTTCAGAGAGTCAGTCCAGGATGGTCACTGCGCTAACCAGTTTGTGATATTTGATGACGTTCCCTTGTACTGGGATGCTTGGGATGTGATGGATTATCACCTGGAAACCAGGTAGGTGAGCAGTGCATTGTGGGTACCGGTACTTCTTTAGGACCCTGCAAAGATCTCTGCCTCTTGGTTCTTTGCTACTCTGGGATTGTAGCAAAGAACCAAGAGAGAGGACAAAACTTCTGCAGTGGAAAACTATGTGCTTGTTCTTTCCAGCGCTTTGTGTCCAGGGGAGAAGCGTAGAATAGTGTAAGATTACACAGCACCTGGGAGGGGTTCTAAGAATTCCTCTGGTGAGAAAAACGGAGCGTCAGGTGGGTGGGCAGTATCCCTGCTCCCTGCTTGTCTTCCAAGTGTAGGAGCCTGATGTTGACCTTTTGAACGCATTGCTGTCACCCCCTGAATCTTAACCCTTATGCTTGACATCTGTTTTAGGAAGCCAATCACAACCCTTCTGAAGCCTCTGGAGATTGTCCTGGCTGGGGGCCTGCGAGGAAGTGTGAAATTCTCTCTGCAGATCAGTGAGCGGAGTGTCATCACCCAAGAAGTCATCCTGGATGCCATGTGTCCTTATCTTCGATTCTTGACCCAGGTTTGGAAAGGCCTGTGCAGGCCAAACCCTCCTTATACAGACTGCCGTGGTGGGAGGAGAGAATCCCAGAAGGACGAGTGCTTTGCAGAAATGGAGCATAGAGTGGCAAAGGTGTGGATGGCCGGGGCGAGGTCCAAGGAAAGGTTGCATTCTAGGCAAGCCAAGACCAGAACTGGAGGAGAGTCAAGAAGCAGCCAAGATAGGGAACGTTCGTAAGCAAAGACAGCCGCGTCTCCTCACTGGAGGCAATACCCAGAGCCTCTGCTGCCTTTCCTGGATGCCCCTATTCCCACCGAGCCTTTACTGCAAATAACGGGTGGCCAAATTTACCGACAGTCTGAGCTGCATACGACAATCTTCAGAAGTTTGAGAGCAGGGCATATCTGCTGGGGCTTGGGGCTTCAGCCCCACTCCTGCTGAAGCCCTGCGCTCTGGCAGGCATGTCCCATGGGACTTGAGCCCCAAGACCCCCTGCCCTGCTGGGCAGAAGCTGGAGGTGACATGGGGAGGGATGGGACACGGTGGGTTACGTGCCCCCCAGATATTTGCCAGGGTTTGCTAGCCCCACTCGGTCACATGGTGCTGCCAGGCCTCATCCCTGCACAGCAGCTGCTGGAGCCGGCAAGCTGGGAGCTGCGGTCGTGGGGAGAGGCAGCCGCACACAGCTGGGAGCTGCAGGGAGAGACAGTGTTTTGCTGCTGCCTCTCCCTACGGAGCCAAAGCAGCAGCCCCTCGCTGCAGCTCCCAGCTATTTGCCGCTGTCTCTCCACAAGGAGCTAACACCTGGATGCTGCAGGCAGGGGTCACTGACACTGAGGGTATGAGGGGGTGTGTGCCTGGGAGGGCATCACTCAAGCTGTTGGGGGGGGGGAAATGTTTAAATTTTGCCCCCCACCCTCAGCAGGTTCCAGTCATTTCTGGCAGAAGCCCTGAGCCCCACCACCCTGTCGCAGGGCAGAAGCCCTGGGCCTCCCCCGCTTCTCCTACCCAGTCTGGTAGGGGGAGAATGGGGGGATTCAGTGAGGTGCATTTTAAGTGTAAAAGAGCCTCATGTGGCTTGCGAGCCACAGTTTGGCCACCCCTGGCGTATAACGAAGCACTTCGGAAGAGCTTTGGGATTGTTTAAAGCCACTGGGATGGATTGATGTGATCAGGTTTTCCCATGTTCAGAGGCAGAAGAGTACAGTCCTAGGGCCAGTTTTAGCCCTTGCTTGATACTTTCCTGCTGTTGCCCTTGAACCAGGTCCCTGTTGGTGGGGCTAACGAGCTGGCAGACAATGGGGAAGCGAGCACAGGGGAGCCGCTGCGGTGAAGATGACGCAGTCTTTCCTGTCTCCCACACAATGACCTGAGCCTCCTTTTGGCCGCCCGGTTTGTTCTAGGTTGACTGGAACGAGGCTCACCGATTCCTGAAGGTGGAGTTCCCGTTGCGGGTTCGGAGCATGAATGCAACGTATGAGATTCAGTTTGGACACCTGCAGAGGCCGACGCATTGGAACACGTCCTGGGACTGGGCTCGGTTCGAGGTAGGAGGGCAGCAGCCTGGGCCCTGCCGCTGCCCCAGCTCTCTAGGTAGAAATAGCCCTGATAGATGGACACCGTCCCTTCTTTTCCCACCCCGCGTGCCCTCTGAGAACAGCTCGCTTCGGGCCACAGCTGCTTGCTGAACTGCTGCAGGGATAGGCTGCCTCCTGGGCGGAGGGGAACCCGGCAGGAGCAGATTCCCCGTATCCCAAGAGAGCAGCACTTTAAGCAGGGACCTCGATGAGAGCGAAATCTTGGGTCGCTGTGTCGGCGCTGCTGTTCAAATCCATCCCAACCAGGGCACAGATACGGCTTTGTACACTGACATGGCAAAGTACCAGCCTCCCACGGCCCAATAGCCAGCTCCCTCCGGGCGATCCAGGTCGGGGCTGAACTGCCTTGGAAAGGCCTGTGGTTTGCCAGCCGGGGGCAGATGAGGCTGCATTTCAGTGTGAAGTGGGTCATGCAGTTCCCCAGAGCTAGGGAGTTTGCATCCCGGCCTCACTGCAGCTGCCGGTCAGTTTGGTGATGGAGCCCGAGCCGCCTTTCCTTCATGGGGACTAGCTTTCCCGTTACGCTCCTGATTGGTGCACCTAGGCCGTTGACAGGGATTGGCCCCAGTAATCTCTGCAGAGCCCAGGGGGCCATCGGCTGCGTCCCCCAGGCACCCCTTGTGTTCTTGATCAGTGGGACAGTTTGTGTAGCACCCACCTTGCTCCACAATGACCATCCTGGGTGACAGCCCCCGAATGCCAGGCTGGTTGTTTTCCCCAAGGTGTGGAGTCACAAGTGGATGGACCTGTCTGAGCACGGCTTCGGTGTGGCACTGCTGAACGACTGCAAATACGGCGCGTCCGTGCACAAGAACGTGATGAGCCTCTCGCTGTGAGTGGGCAGGGGGGCGGGTCTGGGCAATGGATGCCTTGGTTTTACAGTTCTGCTCGCTGGGGATGCTGCAGTCCCGTGTGCGCTATCGTTTAACTTTGCAAACGCTGTGGTCTGCACCCTGTATACAGCAGCGGGATTGGACTGGAAATGGAAGCCCTGGCGCATACTGTGCTTTAGAATGTGTCCCATTTATAACGGGATCCGCTCTCTGCCCCGTCCCGTCAAGTACAGAGGTTTTAACCCTTTCCTGCAGCGGTCAGGAATGCATGCCGCTAATGCATGCCACTGTCATTGATCTAGTTATTGATCTAGAGAGCACCTTGCTCTCTCCAGTGGGATCAACTTCTTGAACACTTTGATCCTAGTGTTGGGTCAGTGTTTGGGGACAAGTTAAGTCAGAACTAGGCCTCTGGCGTGTGAGTGCAGTGGTCTTGTGGCAGGAGCTCCTCCTCCAACGGGGCACCACCACGGGGCCTGACTGCGGTGCAGTTTGCAGGGGTCCCTGCTGCGTGTTGGAACGGCAGGGTGGTTTGACATCGGCAGCGTGCGTGCACTAGCGTTTAAAGGGAGTGGGGCTGGTTCTAGGCACTGCCAGTGGAAGAGGCTCCACCCCCTTAACCCGCCCTTCTCCTCCAGGCTGAGAGCGCCAAAGTCACCAGATGCCACTGCAGATATTGGACCCCATCAGTTCACCTATGCCCTGATGCCTCACAGGGGTGAGTTTCGGGGGCTGAGCAGCACAGCCCTGATATGCCCCATAGGAGCCTGCCAATTCATGAAGGGAGCATGTGGGCAAAGAAGATCGCCCTCTCCTGGTGTGGGGCAGCGGCATGGCGACCGCTCCCCTCTCACTGGGGACGGCGCCGTTGCTGTTTCTCACTGTGCTGTGCGCTTAGCTCCTGACAGCTGCTGTTGTATTCTCTGTGCAGGTTCCTTCCAGGAGGCGGGTGTGATCCATTATGCCTACAACTTGAACTTCCCCCTGCACACCGGGCCAGCTTTGTCAGCGCAGCGCCCAGCCTGGAGTGCCTTCTCTGTGCCCTCACCAGCTGTCGTGCTGGAAACCGTCAAACAGGCACGTGCCCCAAAGAGAGACGAGGAGGGCAGTGGTGTGTTGAAAGACACAGAGCACTGGCAGCTCTTGTGTTAGCATTGTGCGTTGTTACAGCAGTTTGGATTGACAGAGGCCAAGTGCCTTGCAGGAGAGTTAGCTACAGCTCTCAGTCCTAGTCCAGTGATTGGTCCTTTTCATTCATCCTTAATCTGCCCCCACCTCCCAGGTCTTTGGCATTCAGCTGAGCTGAGCAGGAATTTCCCTACACTGACAGGGCAAGCAGTGTGGGCTAGTGGTTATAGCAGGAGTCTGCGAGTCCAGCAGCCTGGCTCGCTGTTTGGACTTGGAGGAATTGCAGTAGCCAAAATCTTGAACCCATAGCTGTGGCAGCTTCTCTTCCATTTTTGGGCACGCAATTTACAGTGCCTTGGGCCTGATGCTCAGAGTTGCTGAGCGCCCAGAAATCCAGCGTACTTTGCTGGGTGGGGATAGGACTGAGCTCCTCTGGAGATCAGGCCCAACATGAACACTCACAGTACAGGCATCTAAACCCAGTGGCCACTTCTGGGAATTCAGGCCTGGATGGGCTGAACAATTCCTGGCTGTGTCAGCACTCTGAGGGCTCTGGAAGAGAATTGCAAAGCATTACTCCTCATTACAGCCTCCTGCAGGGACTTGCAGAACTCAGAATCCGTCTGTTCTAAAAGGGGGCGACCCAGCCAGGTTCAGAGTTTGACCTCTTCCTGCTGGCTATCGTCTAGTTGAAATGGTGAACCAAAGCTGCTCTTGAACATTGATGATTGGCAGGAGGCACCATGCCCTCTAGGCAGCATATGCTCGTGGCTAGAGTACTGGACTGGGGCTCAGCTGACCTGGGTTCTAGGCCCAGCTCTGCCACAGGCCTACTTGGTGTGTGTCCCTTCCCCTCCCGTGCCTCAGTTTCCCTGTCTCTAATATGGGTTAATGATACAAAGGGAGGGCGGGGGTGGTAAAGCATTTGGAGATCAGGTATCATTAGCCATCTGGCTGATCCTGAGAATAACGTTTCTCTCTGTCCATGAAGGCTGAGGACAGGCTGGACGGGCTGTTAGTCAGGCTGTATGAGTCACATGGCAGCACGGTGGTCACGTGGCTCCAGACCTCCCTTCCTGTGAAGGAAGCAATCAGGTAAGAAGGTGGTGGAAGGGGGAGGCCACATATTCTGGGGCTTCACCTTCATCCTCTCTTCTTCCTTCCCCAGCTGTGACCTCCTGGAGCGGCCAGACCTGAGCAGTCATCTGCCACTGGAGGAGCATGGCCTGAAGCTTTCTTTCACGCCGTTCCAAGTGCGCTCTGTCCTCTTGATCTTGAGGCAGTAAGAGGACTACCTTGCTGGCAGCCCAGCTCCTATCCCGGCACCAGGCAGAAATCACTGTGCTCAGGGCGATTCACTAGCTTCTCAAATCATGGACACGTCGATTCCAGCACCACAGCTACACAATGGGGGTAGTAATGAGTTGCCCCTTCTCAGTGTGCGCCAAGGGGCGGTCTCAGGGCAGAGCTCAGCTGCCTCTGGGCTCAAGTCAGCACTGATTCTGAGTGTAAATGCCTGACTGGTGGGCTACAACCTTAGTAACGTCGGGGGGTGGGGAGATCTTGATTTGTGGGGGAAGATCACAGAGCTGGTGTTGTACTGGCTTAACCCACTAGTGAACATCCCAAATAGAATCCTGTCCTTTTCAGGGGAGAGGTGCTGGGGTTTGATCCTTGATAATGGCAGAATCGGTTCCTTTTTCTGCGTGCCCTACAACTCCTAACCGTCCTGTGCTTCCCTGGGTGGGGTTTTCTCCACAACACTAACAGCAAGGCGCTTTACTGTTTCTGCAGACGTGGCTTCTTTGGGCCTAGTCTTTCTGTAAAAACTGAGCATTAAACACTGAGTCACTTGCTGAGTAAAGTTCTGACTGTTTGACTCTTGCCTGTGGCATCAGAAATGGGGCCGCTGCCCTTCACTCAGACCAGTGCCCGGCTGCTAATAAAATCCCTAGTGTAGGAGCCACAAAGCTTCCTAAGCTCCTAAGTCCTGTTTTTAGGCTCAACTGTGACTCTCAAAGCTCCTGTTCGGCTGCCGTCCAACGCTGCAGGCCCCTCCGGTTCTGCAGTGTGTGCTAGGGTTTCTGCCTCTCTACACGCAGGCTGTTGCCTCACTCGAGGTGTCCTACCTACCCCCCAGAGCGAGTGAGCCACGGCCTGGTGTTCCTCTGAGTCACAGGTGGGGCCAGTGGACATGCTCAGAGGCTGCCTAGCTCCACAGGACAGCTGCGGGGGGAGGACTTCCCTTGTCAGCTGTAGCCCTGTGATTAGACTGCTGGGAGGAGACCCCTGGTTCAAGTCTCCCCTCTGCTGGATAAGAAGAAGGGATTTGTGCAGGGATCTGCTGCCTCTCAGGTCAGGGGCCCTGAGCATGGGATATTCTCATGTAGTCTCCCTCAATCTCTCCTATTGAGGTTTTCACTTTAATTAAATAATTGAATAATTAACAGGGCCAGAGAAAGTTAGAATCACTCTGCTTGGGGCACTCACCTGAGAGGTGGCAGAGGTCTGTTCAAATCCCTTCTCAGCTGGCAGAGGAGGGACTTGAACCCCATTTGTCCATGCTCTTTTGTGGAATTAGGCAGCTTCTGAGTACCCTTACTGGATCGGGCCCCGCTTCTGACTTAGGCAGCCGAACCCCTGTCTGCTCCTGGTTTGTGGATTCCTACCAAAGATAGGTGCCTTCCACCAGCCCAGATTTAGGGGCTGAACTCAGAGAGAGGGGCAAGGCTTAGCACACTCCTCTTGCTGGCCTCTTCCATTGTCTCCCTACCTACCTTACTGGCTTTATGCATTGTTCTCAAAGGCACCTGTCTCACCCCATTCACTATGGAGGCCCCTACCACAGGGTTGTTCCTGTGATTTTCTAGGTGTCTAAAAGTTAGGCATTGTGGTTCCTCAGACCCTTTTGTGGATACAGGCCTTAGGGCTTTCAGTATCATTATCCCCACTTGACAGTGGGAAACTGAGGCACGGAGCAGTGATGTGGCTTGCCCAAGTAGTCTACTAGCTTGGACCTATGTTGAGCGCTAAGGGGTAACCATCAGCTAGAAAAATGTTCTTGCTACCACATTAGGCACCTATCTGGTGCTCATCACCAGGGTGGATGGAGATGCTGGAAATGGTGCAGTTTTCTAAATCATGCAATATTTAAATGTTGGGCATCCAATCACAAAAAGAGCCACAGCTCATAGAAAGGTGGTTTAATTTTGACCAAAATTGGCAGAAAGCATTGAAATACAATTGGTAATGGAACTACATACTCAAAGCAACACTGGTTTGGAAAGATTGGGAAATATTTAGTCCCCCCAGTGATATATTTTATACATATTCCTGTGTTGTTTTGCCTTTGGTTAAAACAAAAGTCTGTGGTCACACAACATTATGAGTTTGTTTGTACCATGTATTACATCAAAATATGTGTCATTATTTGTAGAATGTACTAATTTGAGAAAAGGTTTTCCGTCTGCTATTTTTCTGAAGTTATGCAGATAAGACCCCCTACCTCTTAATTATAAAACATAGTTTGATGTTATCTGCTCTGCCGGAGACACACATGAGGAAGGAACATGGAATGGAATCTGTAAGGCTAGGGCAGAGAGTGTAGCCTTAAAATGTAGACTATTGCAAACTATAATCATGGCTGTTAAATGGTTAAGACAATATGCCACAACATTGGCAGGGCAAATAACAGAAACAAAGAAAGAGTACAACGAAGCAGGGGAAGCCACAGAGCCCTGGAATGCTCCCGCTCTCCTAACAGCTCCTAACAGCAAGCAATCCAGGAACAGAATAAAACATTGTGGAAACAGCTGTAAAAAACCTACAAAAAAAGAGAGGTGCTGTGCCATTATATATATTGGTGGTCAGCAGGCATCAGGTAGCTACCCTGTGCCTGAAGAGTGGGAACAGGAATGAAGAAAGGTGGCCCTAGGAAAATGAAAAGATGCATTAACAGATGGAGTTGCCCCAAAACAGTTAACTGAAGCATATAAGAGCACTCCTGCACTCCATGTGGCATGCAGACAAAAGCAACAGACACTGGGATGGGGTGGGGGAGACAAATTGAGGTTTTGCAAGAGCAGGTAACAACCCCCACTTTCAAAGCCCAGATAAAAACCAGGGGTGCAAGTTCCCAACTGCTTTAACCCCTGGAGCCACGCTCCTTGCTCATGGCTAAAAATATAACCACCTTTCGCAAATATTTTTACATACCAGTTAAGTTTTCCTTTATCGCCTTTCTCAGTCTGCTAAACTTGCTGCTGATGCCAGTACCTTAAGATAACTTTATAGAGTTAATTTCTCTTGGCTCAAGTCTCGCTCCCTTCCTCAGTTGCTCTTCATCCCCTCTTCCCCTTCCTCTCCTCACTTGGTCTCTTTCTCTGTTTTAAAAGTTACAGTTTTACAGAAACTTCCAAAACATAAAACAACAATCAAACAAAGAAAAAAACAAGGTAAACATTTTACTTTAAAAAATATCCAGTAAATTAATAATTTTAACCCTTCAGGAATGCAGTTGCTGGAATTACTCCTAACTTGAATTATGATTGCCAAGCAACAGAAATGCACACTCTGCTTCTAATCCTAACCACTCACTAATATTTGAAACATGGGCGTTCCTTATTACCACATAGCAGAGTTTTAAAATAAAGTTAATATAAAGTAACGGAAAAGGCCTCGTTACTGAATTAATACAACAATTTTTGCAAATATCAATATGAATTATTTTTATTAAAAATTAAATAAGGTAATAATTTGCTTCTTTAAAGGGCTAACCATTTTGTTTATTTTTTTAAATATTTTTTTATTTTTGTTTGTCTTACCTGGCGTAGGTATCAGTAAGAATTCTGGCGCCACTTGTTTTTAATTGTAAGTTTGTCACGTATGCTGCCCTGTGTTGTACGGTATGGGTGTAACATCACTTTTTTTTTTAATTATTTTTATTTTGTTGCAACAAAAGTCAATTTTATACCTTTAAATATATATATATATATATAAAAAAGTGGTACCACATAATATTAATACCATTTTTTTAAAGTTCAGAAAGGTCTGTTTATAAATATATGTACGTGTATTTCTGCCTCAACAAATAATGCAATTAAAAACCAAAAGCATTCTCTTTTATTAATCAGTTTTTTTATTTTTATTTTTTATTCAATGAAAGAGGAAATCTCAACATTAAGACGATTGTGAGCCTCTATTCTAGCAATTAAGCATTACATTTAGTATCAAATATTAGTAACGCACCTCAAATAAAAATTAATATCTCTACAATTGCAAAAGGAAAGCTTGCGTTATAAAAGACTCGGTCACCATTACATTGTAAACAAACACAGTTAATCTGTATATTAAAGTTGGAGGATTAAACAGCAGAAGAAATGTCAAGCAAACAAACTTTATTAGGTTAACTAACTAGCTGTTTAAAGTTGCATCCCACAGACCAAAAACAGCAGAAGATATCAGTATACAGTGAAGGAACCCCCAAGCATTAAAAAAAGGAAAGTGCTTTATAAATAAGAGACTGGTCAACTACACCTCAGTTTACGATATATGGACAATTACATTGGCAATCAGCTAGAAACCACTAACTGGACCAAATTAAACTGTCATTTAATTGAATTTGGCTACTGTGTACAAACCAATTGTGTTATTGCTGGATTTCTCTATTATTGCTGTACAATGTTTACAATGTGCATAACCTTGCTAAACTGTTTAACCAACACACAGGTAAAAATCAACAAACCAATGGCAGCAAACAACATGAAGGCAAGAAAAAAAATGGTTAAAAAATTAAATTACATAGTAACTACAAATTGGGTACAGAAATTCCCTGCTAGTACCACCCAAAGAATAGTGCACGTGTGAGCCCAAGATCTTGCTCTATCTGAGTCCAAGCTCCACATTATCACCCTGCTTACTTTGAGTGTTTGCTTTGAACATACAAACAGGCATAATGGGTCAGACCCATGGTCCCATCTAGCCCAGGAGCCTGTCTTCCGATAGTGGATGGGGCCAGGTGCTTCACAGGGAATGAACAGAACAGGGTAATTATTAAGCAATCCAGTCCCAGCATCTGGCAATCAGAAGTTAAGGACACCCACAGTATAGGGTTGCATCCCCGACTGTCTTGGTTAATAGCCATTGAAGGACCTATCCTCCATGGATTGATCAAATTCTTTTTGAACCCAATTATACTTTTGGCCCTCACAACATCCCCTTGCAATCAGTTCCACAGGTTAACTGTGTTGTGCAAAGAAGCACTTCCTTCTGTTTGTTTTCAACCTGCTGCCTATTAATTTCATAGGGTGACCCCTGATTCATGTGTTACTTGAAGGAATAAAGAAGACTGCCTTCATACGACTCATGATTTCCTGGACCTCTATCACCCACCCCCGTCACCTCTTTTCTAAGCAGAACCGGACCAGGTTTTTTAAAATCCCTTATCCTGTGGACGCTGTTCCGGCCCCCTAATCATTTTTCTTGCCCTTCTCTATACTTTTCCCAATTCTACTCTATATTTTTTTGAGATGAGGTCAGAACTGCATGCAGTATTCAAGGTGTGGGGGTACCACAGATTTTAAAAGTGGCATGATGCTATTTTCTGGCTTAGCTGTCCCTTTCCTAGTGGTTCCTCACATTTTGTTGGATTGCCGCTGCACACTGAGCGGCTTTTTTCAAAGAACTAGCCACAATGACTCCCATGATCTTTCTTGAGTGGGACTAGCTCATTTAGATTCCATCATTTTGGGTGAACAGTTGGGATTGTGCTTTCCCATGTGCATTACTTCACACTTATCAACATTGAATTTCATGTGCCATTTTGTTACCCAGTCAGCCAGTTTCGTGAGATCCATTTGTAACGCTTCACAGTCAGCTTTGGACTAAACTAGCTTGAGTAATTGTGTTTTGTCTGCAAACTTTGCCACCTCACTGTTTACCCCCTTTTCCAGACCATTTAGGAATAGGTGAAACATCACTTGTCCCAGTACAGCTCCTTGGGGGAACCCCACTATTTACCTCTCTCCACTTAGAAAACAAAGGGTAGGAATAGTCAGTTTTCAATCTTTTAACCAGTTACTTTTGCTAGCTGCTCTTCAAAATCTTTCTGGACCTACCTTTTCCACTTGACTTGCCAGAGTTTATGCTCCTTTCTATTTTTCTCAGCAGGATTTGACTTCCATAAAGGATGCCTTTTTGCCTCTAACTGCCTCTTTTATGCTATTGTTTAGCCATGGTGGCATTTCTTTGGTCCTCTCACTTTTTTTTTTAATTTGGGGTATACAGTACATTTCATCTGAGCCTCTATTATGGTGTTTTAAAATAGTTTCCATGCAGCTTGCAGGCATTTCACTCTTGTGGCTCCATTGAACTAGCCTTCTCCTTTTTGTATGTATCCTTCCCCTTTTTGAAGCTAAATGCTACCTTGGTGGGTTTCTCTGGTATTTTCCCCCTATTGGGCTGTTAAGTTTAATTACATTATGGTCACCCTTACCAAGTAGTTTGGCTCTATTCACCTCTTGGACCAGATCCTGTGCACCACTTTGGACGAAATCAAGAATTGCCTCTCCCCTTGTGGATTCCAGGGCTAGCTGCTCCAAGCAGCAGTCATTTAATGGTGTCTAGACATTTTCTTACTGTATCTCTTTCTGAAGTGACATGGACCCAGTCAATATGAGGATAGTTGAAACCGCCCAATTATTACTGGGTTTTCTGGTTTTAGAGCCTTTCTAATTTCTCTCAGCATTTCACTGTCACTGTCCCCATCCTGGTCAGGTGGGTGGTAGCATATCCTTACTGCTATATTCTTATAATTCAAGCCTGGAATTTCTATCCACAGAGATTCTATGGTACAGTTGATTCCTTAAAAATTAAAGATTCCTTTGAAAATCTTAAATTTTTAAGATTTTACTATATTTGACTCTATGCTTTCTTTCACATACAGTGCCACTCCCCCACCAGCACAATGTACTCTGTCATTCCTATATATTTTGTACCCTGGTATTTCTGTGTCTCATTGATTATCATCATTCCACTGAGTTTCCGTGATGTCTATTATATCAATAGCCTCTTTTAATATGAGGCACTCACGTTTACCTATCTTTGTATTTAGAATATTAGCATTTGTATGCAAGCACTTATAAAATGTCAATATTTAGTTGTCTGCCTTCATGGGATATAACTGAATGGGACTTTTTTTTATTTGACTCTTCAGTTCCTACCTGCACTTTATCAGCTTCTATCCTCTCCTCTTTATCAGGATATAGAGTATCCCCTTAAAATTAATCCTCCCCTAAGGGATGTCTCTGTCTAAACACTGTGCTCTTCTGCAGCTATTGGCCCTTAGTTTAAAACTCTATGACCTGTTTTAATTTTACATACCAGCAATCTGGTTCCGTGTTGGTTTAGGTGGAGCCCATCCTTCTTGTATTGGCTCCTCCTTTCCCCAAAGGTTCCCCAGTTCCTAATAAACCTAAATCCCAACACCAGCATCTCATCCATGCATTGAGACCCTGCAGTTCTTCCCGTCTAACTGGCCCTGTGTGTGGGACTGGAAGCATTTCAGGGAATGTGACTATGGAGTTCCTGCACTTCAATCTGTTACCTTGCAACCTAAATTTGGCCTGTAGGATCTCTCTCCTACCTTTCCCTATGTCATTGGTCTGACACATACCACAACCAAGGGCTCCTCCCCAGCTCTGCACATGTGTCAATCTAGATGTCTTCAGAGGTCCACATCCTTTGCAACCAGCAGGCCATTCACCATATGGTTCTCCCAGTCATCACAAAACCTATCAATATTTCTAATAATCGAATCCCCATTATCTAGATAATACTTAGACCTGCCATGAGTGTAGAGGACTGGACTAGATGACATCTCGAGGTCCCTTCCAGTCCTATGATTCCCCATCTCTTCCCAATAACTGGGGTTACCTCCCATGGAGGAGTATCCTTAATGGGAGAGGATACTATGTCTTTACCTTGAAGGAGGGTCCTAACTCTGGGATTTTTTCCTTACACTCCAGCTTGGTGTTCTCCTTCCTGGAGACTTTCAAGCATGTTCTTGCATGTGGCTCACAAACCTGCTTCCTTGTGATCTGCCTCAAGTTCTGGTATTGCAGAATGGGTGCCAGGCATTACTTTCACTGTTTGTGCGATGTCGTGAAACCCACCAGCAAGCTATACTTCACAACCAGCTGATCATCTCTGTTCACACTCCTTGATCCCGTCAACTGAAGAGAAAGTTTGCATTGTTACGCATATTCTTGGAATCTGATAAGATCTTCAAGTCTTGCTTTGGTAATGGTGTTACCACAGTGTGGTTCCAAAGTTCTTACATTTGGACATTCCCCTTGTGGGCTCTCTCACCAGTTTTCATTGATTCTTCATTTGCACCAAGAGCAGGGTATTGACCTTTTAGTCGAAGGATAAGAGTTCAGTAGCTGATCAGACAGCTCCCCAAAAGTTTTTCACTTGGCAGGGTTGGTGCACACTGGCGGCAGAATCCTCATGATGTCAGTAATAGCTAATGTTGGCTCACAGGAGTCTGGTAGCTCAACCATTGATAGATTTTTCTCCAGCCAAGACAATGTGCTGCTTTTTAGGGTCTTTCTTAGGGCTTGTCTACACTACCGCAGGTGTTCGATCTCAGATACACAACTTCAGCTACGTTGTGCAAAAGGGGCAGGGATGTTAAAGCATTGCCACGGCAGCATTTAACGTGGGATGCGTACGGGCTGATACCGTACCGGCTCCCTTTCACCCCTGTCCAGGGTACAATCTGGACTGTTGGACAGCTGTGTCCCCTCAGTTCTCCAACATGGGTTGCCTTTTACGCTGCTTTGCTGTCAGAGCAACCACTCCTGGCTTGCTCACACACACAGCCTCTAGCATGTAGACTACTCCCAGCTGAGTTAGATGAGTGCTCTTAGCTAGCCACTCCTGAATTATACTGGAGAGGGACACAAGCAAATTCCCAGTCCCAGACATGTCCCCAGAAATGTGCCCAGCTCTCTCCTTCTTGACAAGGAAAGCTCATAGAAAGCCTGTAATTTCATTAATAGAAAATAATATGCACAAATCTTGCTATCCAAATGGAGTTTCCCCAAACATTTCAATCCAAATACACGCTGGATAGATAAAACAGAAAAATAAGTTTAACAACTACAGAAAGATCGATTTTAAGTGATTACAAGGAATGAGGCATAAAGGTCAGAAATGGTTACAAAGAAATAAAAGGTAAAACGCAAACTAAAACCTAACCTAACAAGCTAAGTGAACTTAGAGCAAGAAGGTTTCTCTCACCATAGGTTTACAACACTCTGGCTGGATTCCTCCCAAACCAGGACCCCTCCCCAAGTACTGTGATGCTTTCTTTGTCTTTCAAACATTGTTGATGCAGTGAGTAGAGATGAGGGGAGAGAGGTGATTTGGGACCTCTATTCCTCATTTTTGTATCTTTTCCTCCTCTTTGAAGATCATCTCCAGCTGGAGTTCAGGCGACAGCCACTCTGTTTACCCCAGCTGTTCCATTGCCAAGATTCCCAAATTTCTCACTCACACCTTTCTTACTGCCAAAGAACGATTGCTTAACCAGGTGATAGTCCATTTGATTATGCTGCCAGCTGGCTGAGGTGCTGGCTAGCCTTGGTCTCTGGGCAAATAGTTTGAAGCTGTTTTTCTAAACTTGGAGCATGTCTCAGTAAAATCACACAGTAGAATCTTATAATTTTACACACAATGTTGCCACATGCATTTTACCAGGACAATAACGTTCAGCAGATTATGGGCTTTTAAATGATACCTCACAAGGCATACTTTGTACAAGAGTGATCATGGTTTTGTAAAAGTGGTGAGCATAAGGGTACAGACTGTCACAGGGGGCATTCTCAACAGCCCTTCAGCTTCACTGCAACAGTTTCCTAATTCAGATGTGGAGCCATGGCTCTCACCCACAGTCAAAGGCCCCCACTCCCTCCAGACATGAAAAAACTAGTTCTAGCCAAATGATCCAGGCTAGCACCTGAACTGGTGCCAGAAGAATCTGCCATTAACTCCCAGTTATTACAAGGGCTTCTTTATTCCATTTATGGACAGGTATTTCTATAGCATCCTTCCCCATTTGAATCTGAATCCCCATGTGAACGCTCACAACAGGAATCCAGCAAAGCTTAGCTATGGCCACTAGGACCTCCCTTTAGCTGGCTGGAAAGGAGGCACATCCAAATCACTAGCACCCAGAAAGGGCAGGTCCTAGCAGAATGGCCTGAGCTGGCTGTAAGCCATACTATGGCTATATTGCCTCTTTGCCCTAATACTTGGCCTCCAGAACAGCAGAGAGTCTCCTGCAGTGACAGCAAAGCAGCCACACAAGGGATTGTTTATGGAAAGCTTTTATTGTTAGTACTGAAATCAGATTGCTAGAAGCACTGGTAGTTGGGTCAGAGAACCACACTATAGGGAGGGTGGGCAGGTTGGCTCAGCCGCTGAGCCTGTAACCTCAAGGCACTGGTTTCTGGGCAGCCCAGCTCAGGAGCGACTGACTGATGGACTCATTCCACACAACAGCTAAGTGTTTGCACATCCCCTTTGTAGAGGTCAATTTCTGAAAGAGCCATCCAGGCTGTCCTACCTTCTGATCCGCTACAGCGCTCAGGCACACTAGCGGGGACAGCAAGGAAAAGCTTGCGTGGCCGCTGCCCAGAGTCTGCACGTGTGTCCAGTAGCAAAGTTGATCCCTTATTCAGACATGCCACTGCCACCCTCCTCCTGAGTTACATGAGATAAAATGCTGCTGATCTGCAAAGCTCATCCCTCCTGCAGAGCAAGGGTTAGAGACTCTGGAATCAGCGAGGGCAATAAAAACATTTGCAAACTCTGCTCTGTCCCCATTAACTTGGGCCAAACACAGCCTCAGAAGCCAGAGCCATCTCATGGCAGCATGCAGGGAGGCTGCAAAGGGCAGCTGAGAGCAGGGAATGAAGAGCTATGGTCTTCTGAGGATTTTTAACCTGACCCTCAGGAAACTGTTTCAACTCAGACTTCCCACACTCAGCGTGTTCCCATCTCTCTGCCCAGAGCTGCCAGCTCTCAGCTGCAGTCACCAGCGGGTGCCCCAGCAGCTTCCAAGGGGTTTGATACAAAGTCGCCCAATTGCTGGGTCCTGAAGCTGCATTTAAAAAGGAATAAAACCCTGTAACCGAGCAGGGAGGCTGACGCCATGGCATCACCTTCACCATTTCATGGGGTGGGGGCTCTTGCGTCAGCTGCTTAGAGCCCCTGCAGCAAGCCACCTCTGAGAAGGGATCTAAGAAACAACGCAGCGGGCACGTTCGCTTCAGAGAAGAGTCACCCCAGCAGCTGCTCCCTGCGCATCTCCCTCAGCACATGCAGCAGTAGCAAGCGAGCTGCCATCTGAGTTACTCCAGGCTGAAGCGAGGACAGATGCTGTGCCAGACCAGTCATTCAGCCTTCACCCGCCTGGATCTTGGGGCAACAGTAGCTGTTCCTAAAAAGACACGAGAGAAAGTCAGAGCAGTGAGAGGGCAAAGTTTGACAGTCAAGCTACCTGTTCCCTGCAGCAGGGGAAATTCACTTTCTCCCGTGGGAAGACTGAGGGAGGAGACGAGTGCCAACTGCTTCCTAATAGAACTCAGATCTCAGTCCTGGCCAGATCTGGGGCCCCAGGATCCTGTGTAAGGTATCACCCACCCCAACCCACCAGTCTGCTATCCTGGTGTCCATTAAGGATTCACTCGCTGCGGACCCACCATTCCTACGGTCAGTGATTTGGTCACACAACACGTGCACAGAGAATTAGCTTCAGAGTTTCTAATTCCAGTGGCTGGCCAACAATCCTACAGCGTGTGGGTGGTTGATGGGGCTTCCCTTTCCTTGCAGAACACAAGCTCTTTTATTCCACTTTTGAAAAAAAGCCTGATTGACCTTGACCAGCATAAGCCATCTGGGCTTATCCCCCTCCCATGCTCACGCTGGAGCCAGAGCAGAATTCTAACCTGTGCTTCTCCGAGCAGATGCCTGCCTCTTCCTATCTGCAGCAGGAGTTTTGCTCGTGGGAGACTCTTGGCTTGCCGAAGCTTTCCTTCTGGACCTGGCGTTTGGCTTTCTTGCTTTATTTCCCTTGGCGTTCTCAGCTCCTGGGACGAGCTCTTTCCCCTTCTTCCTGCCAGATCGCGTTGCTACCTTCTCTTGGCTGCTGCTGCCCTTCGAACTTCTCTTAGGCACCGGCTTTGTGACCTAGGCAGATGATTGAAATGTGCACTCTCGGTCACAGGGAAGCGACTTGAGCTTCTTCTGTACGTTTGAAAGTTCAGGGGAACCGGGGGCAAAGGCTGTTGTGGGAAGTGCTGTTGCTGTTCTGGGATTGACCTTCAGATGCACAGGTTTAACCATCTGCCCTATGGAGTTTACTCCACACACATCAGCTGGGAGAAAACTGGGGCAAGTTTTAAAACGTAAGCTGCCTAAAGTCAGGCACCAAATGTGAACATTTGGCCTTGTTCTCCCTAAAGTTCTCCACCTCAGGAATGCACATCACCAGCTGTTCACGCAGCCACTACTAACCCTTACAGTAAATGCTGAGAGAACATTTGGTGCTGTGCAAGGCAAAGACAGAGCTCACATCATTGGCTTTGGAGCAGGGACCGTCTACTACTCTGTCTGTACCGCACCCAGCGCAGTGGGGTTCTTGGCTGGCCCTTCGAAAGAATCATATTTTTTCTGATAGTGCCTATGTTACACAGACAGACAGACAGAGGTATTTTGCAATCTGCCAGTCAGATATGCATAGGGATGTTTGCGGATTTGCAAAGTTTAACAACAAAGGGGAATAGATTAGCTGTTTCACCATTAACCCAAACAAGGGCAGTAGTACCAGTAAGATATGCCACAGCCTCGGGTCAATAGCAGCTGTATTTTGATTAAACGCTTTGCAGGGACTTTGCAGCTAAAAAAGCTGCATCTGTACGCACCCTTAAGCCGCTTCCTTTCGCCAGGTTGCACAACTTCCATTGTTCCAAAGACACTCCTTGATCAGCATGACCCTGTTAGCGATTTGTCTCTTACTGCAACATTGACATTTGCAGTTCATTGCTCAGATTAAATAATGTCTGGACAATAGAAGTGTGTTTCTTTAACCCCACCCCTGAGGCCAGCAGGCAACAGTTAGAACTGCCGAACCAGCAGAGACTACTAAAAAATAAAATAACCTGTTATTCGTGTACTGCGCTCAATTCATCCTGCGATGAGCTTAATGAGAGCGTGGGGTTGAGATCCCCGCTATCAAAACATCTCTGGGATGAGGAGCCTCTCTACAGAGATGTGTGTACAAACAGAGTGTAAAAACATGCACACATGTGCCTAGTGTCAGGATGTGTGTCAGTAAAGTGTCCATGACTTCGGGGGCTAGTTGAGAGAGGCAGTATTATCTAGGGCAGTGTTTAGAGGACAAGAATGCGAGTTTGGGTTCTATTAGTTTTAGTCCTGATTCACCGACCCCTAACGGCAACACATTGGTCTGTCTCTGTTCTACAGTTTTCTCATCTGGGAATAATGGGCGGCTGTGAAGGCTGAGGTGGTGTTTAGCTTCTTCCAGCCAAAGATCCAATGAAATGCACAATGGGGGCAGCAGGAGAATGACTCTGGGAGTAGAGGGGCCCCCATAAACACTGAGAGTTACAGAAGACATCTAGACTAAGGCTCTGTACCTTTGGACTTGAAGGCTCAGGGTCAGCATTCACCCGCGAGCGCCTCTTGCGGGACTTTTCCCCTGCAGAAGAGAACGTTAAGATGACCGTTTAACTCTGGAGGCGAGAAAGGGGCCTGACTGCAGCTGAGTCAGAGGTCTAATCCCCAGCCCTCTTTTCCTCTGGGAAGCCATCCAGGGAAGAAAAGCTCCCACATATGGTCTGGAAGCTTGGAGATGGTTCTGAGAGAGGTTGGACACAGCTGGCCTGGTTTTGTGGACATCTTGCCTGGACTACACGTGAACTGAGTGTACAGAGGGTGCTCAGAGTGGGCTGGTTTGCATAGCTCTCCCTCCACAGAGCAGGTATAGCACAAAGAGCAACAAGTACTAGCTTCCCCACGTTCACAAGGACACTTGTAGGGTACACAGGCCACTTGATACTGGGCTGCCAACAATAATGGGACCCTTGGAGACTCACTATCTCCTTTCACCCGGGCTGCTGAATTGCCACCCAGTGGTAAGGATGCGTAACCACTACTGGATTCAGGACAGTGAACTAGAGAGTTTTGAGAAGAGTGTAGCTTGTTTCCTTAACCTTAATAATTCCACAGCAAGCGAAGGATCTCCCTGCCTCTCCCAACCCAACCAGAAGCAAGAGAACCCTGCAAAGCATGGAAGAGTAAAGCGGATGTTCACCTTTCGGGGCCATAGGTCCAGGCTCCCCCTGCAAAGGAAGGCAGAGCTTTTAGACAGTGCCCTAACCCAATCCAAAGGGCAGTTCAAACCCCCTCATCAGGCATCAAAGGTCTCAGCAATGCTGCCAGACCCAGCAGAGGGGCACCCGTACATTAGCTGGAGCAACAGACACTGACAGAATGGCATCTTGGAGCAGCAATAGCTCACTCAGAGTAGTGTAAAAGCCCAAATGTTGGCATCCTAGACTTGGCGTCTGTGGTGTCCATTTCTTACAGGTCTGCTTCTTTCTATATTAAGCCATATTAAGAGAGCAGTAGCCATTAGCTAAGAAACAGGAAGTCACATTCCATCTAAATTACATTAAAACAATGTAACATTGGGCTGTGTTATTGACATGAACTGGGACCGTATAGATCATTGTTGCAACCAAGGTCCTGTAGTGGCACCAAATCTTGCATAAAGGGGGTCAAATAAGGTGTCTAAGACAAGGTTATGGTTTGCTGGTTATGATTATGCTATCTCTATGTGTGTATCATTTTTGTAGTTGAAGTTATGAATATTGGCTCTATACTGTCTGTATTTCAAACTTCTGTTATGTTTCTGGGTGACACTGCAGACGAGTTGGTGTCAGCTCTGCCTAGCCTGCTTGATGGCCCATTAAGGACCATCAGTTATACAACTGACCCATTGAAAAAAGGCAGATACACCTTGGGACTCAGCAAGGCATGCAGGGACATGTCTATGGACAGAACTCTGAGGTTTTTCCATGCCCCTGTGATGGACAGCTTGTCTTTGGGACAAAGAAAGCAGAGACCACATGGCAAGAGACTATAAAAAGCTGCTGCAGCTCCTCCATCCTGTCTTCAATCCTGCTTCTTACTTCTGGAGGGATTTTGCTACAAACTGAAGCTCTAAACAAAGGACTGATGACCCATCCCAACTGTGGATGCACTCCAGAGACTTGATTTGAACCTGCAGTTTTAGTTTATTCTATCACTGTTACAAGCCTGAACCAAGAACTTTGCCATTACTGTATGTAATTGATTCCATTTAACCAATTCTAGCTCTCATCTACATCTTTTTCCTTTTATGAATAAACCTTTAGATTTTAGATTCTAAAGGATTGGCAACAGCGTGATTTGTGGGTAAGATCTGATTTGTATATTGACCTGGGTCTGGGGCTTGGTCCTTTGGGATCGAGAGAACCCTTTTTCTTTTACTGGGATATTGGTTTTCATAAGCATTTGTCCCCATAACAAATGGCACTGGTGGGGATACTGGGAAACCGGAGTGTCTAAAGGAATTGCTTGTGTGACTTGTGGTTAGCCAGTGGGGTAAAACGAAAGTCTTCTCTGTTTGGCTGGGTTGGTTTGTCTTGGTGTGCACAGAAACCCCAGCTTTGGGCTGTAACTGCCCTATTTTAAGCAATTTGTCCTGAGTTGGCACTCTCAGTTGGGTCCCACCAGAACCAGCATAGTTACAGGCTGTTAAGAAGGAGATCCTGTCCTAATAGCACCCACTATCACCAGATAAAGAAACTGATCTTAAGATGGTTAAAGAACATTTAATTTGACAGCATTCTGTCTGGCAAGAAATCACTTATCAATAGTTGTGGGTATGAAATAGATTCATAGATATTTAGGTCAGAAGGGACCACTATGATCATCTTGTCTGACCTCCTGCACAACGCAGGCCACAGAATTTCACCCACCACTCCTGCAAAAAACCTCACACCTATATCTGTGCTACTGAAGTCCTCAAATCGTAGTTTAAAGACTTCAAGGAGCAGAGAATCCTCCAGCAAGTGACCTGTGCCCTATGCTACAGAGGAAGGCGAAAAACCTCCAGGGCCTCTTCCAGTCTGCCCTGGAGGAAAATTCCTTCCCGACCCCAAATATGGCGATCAGCTAAACCCTGAGCATATGGGCAAGATTCATCAGCCAGACACTACAGAAAATTCTTTCCTGGGTAACTCGGATCCCACCCCATCTAATATCCCATCACAGGCCATTGGGCCCATTTACCATGAATATTTAATTACCAAAACCATGTTATCCCATCATATCATCTCCTCCATAAACTTATCGAGTTTAATCTTAAAGCCAGATAGATCTTTTGCCCCCACTGCTTCCCTTGGAAGGCTATTCCAAAACTTCACTCCTCTGATGGCTGGAAACCTTCGTCTAATTTCTAGTCTAAATTTCCTGGTGGCCAGTTTATATCCATTTGTTCTCGTGTCCACATTGGTACTGAGTTTAAATAATTCCTCTCCCTCTCCAGTATTTATCCCTCTGATATATTTATAGAGAGCAATCATATCTCCCCTCAACATTCTTTTAGTTAGGCTAAACAAGCCAAGCTCCTTGAGTCTCCTTTCATACGACAAGTTTTCCATTCCTCGGATCATCCTAGTAGCCCTTCTCTGTACCTGTTCCAGTTTGAATTCATCCTTCTTAAACATGGGAGACCAGAACTGCACACAGTATTCCAGGTGAGGTCTCACCAATGCCTTGTATAACGGTACTAAAACCTCCTTATCCCTACTGGAAATACCTCTCCTGATGCATTCCAAGACTGCATTAGCTTTTTTTACGGCCATATTACATTGGCAGCTCATAGTCATCCTATGATCAACCAATACTCCAAGGTCCTTTTCCTCCGCCGTTACTTCTAATTGATGCATCCCTAGCTTATAACTAAAATTCTTGTTATTAATCCCTAAATGCATGACCTTACACTTTATTGTTTTGTCTTTATGGACCCCATTTACCTATTGTTTGTCTGTATGATCTTTGTCTGGTTCTTTGATTGTTTCTATCTTAAATAATTAATTTTGCTAGGTGTTAATTAATTAAGGTAGTGGGGTATGATTGGTTAGAGAATTTTGTTACAATATGTTAGGATTGGTTACTAAAATTTTAGTAAAATGATTGGTTACGATATAGCTAAGCAGGACTCAAGTTTCACTATATAAACTGGGGTCCACAAGGAAATTCTTGGGAACCAACTCCAGGACACAGCCCCAGGATCAGAGCTGCCAGATCTCACACACTGCCAATCACAGCGTGCAGAAACTGGAGTCCCCCAGATGATCTGATCCTGACTGGCCATCAAGAAAAGTTCATCTGTTTTATTGGGAGTGGTGAGCATTGTATGTGTAGCATGTGCATTCTGTTTTGGTGATTGTTAATAAATAGAGGTTACGTAGGATACTACTGTGTAAGGCTCTTTCACTGGTAAAAGACCCCATAAACCCACAAAAGATGAGGCCCTGAGTCCAGAGGGAATGAGAGTTTGCTCTGAGCCCAGAGGAGTAGAACCCAGAGCCCACGGAGTGCCTAAATTAAGAGGGTTATGCCTGAGCCCTAGGAACTAGGTAGACGTGGGTGCCCTAGAGTATGCAAGTGACAGACAATTTTGTGCGGGTAACAAAGGAACAGACTTTGTGCTAGGCTTAGCCAATGTCTCCTGGTGATGAAGAGCGGAAGGGGCTGGGAGAAGGCCAGAGCCAGATTAACTCTCTCCTGTGGGCCCGGGGCTACTAGATTTTCTGGGGGTTTGGAGTGGGCTCAGGGCTGGGGCAGGGGATTGGGGTGCAGGCTCCGGCTGGGAGGCGCTTACCTTGGGCAGCTCCTGGTCGGCGGTGCAGCAGGGCTAAGGCAGGATCCCTGTCTGCCCTGGCTCCGCGCTGCTCTGCTCCGAGGTGGCTGGCATGTCCAGCCCCTAGGCCGAGGGGCCAGGCCGCTCTGCGTGGTGCACCCTGCCTATGCACGCAGGCGCCACCTCCACAGCTCCCATTGGCTGCAGTACCCGGCCAATGGGAGCTGCAGAGCTGGCGCTGGGATTCCCTCAACACTCCCTGCCTTGGGGCCGCATTGGCGAGCCGGCGCTTGCAGCTCCAGGCCCGGAGTAGGGCGCCAAGGCTCAGGGACCGGTGTTCCGCCTGTGGCGTGGAAACTTGCTGTGGGCTGGATGAAAAGAAGCAGCGGGCCACATCTGGCCCACGGCCTGCAGGGGCCCCCCTTAGCCCAAGGCCATGGGCTGCAGCCCCTAAAGCCCCTGCATTAATCCGGCCCTAGGGAAGACAGCCTGCCAGTCTCCTCTTACAGCGGGGTCCAGGCCCCACGGTAGGACAGCAATGATGAGTCAAGCCTCTCTGAGTGCAAGGCCACCGCAGTTCTTACCTGAAACCAGATGGTCCTACCATTGCCATCACGCAGCGACCTCATGCCAGGGACACAGTAACACTGCAGCCACTCCTCAAAGGCCGCGGTATCATCAGAGGGCTCCGGGCCATAACCCTTCCCCCCTGGTGGGACACAAAAATGAGCATCAGGGAAAACTCTTAGGTCCAAGGTTCCCCCTGCAACTCCAGAAGTGAGGGGCTGATCTGCTGTGGGCTTTGCTCTATGCTACAGTGACCCTTGCTGGGGGCTGCAGCAATGCTCAGCTCCAGCTTTCTGAACCCTTCCAGGGGCTCCCTCTCACATACCCCATGTGGGATAGCTTGGAGATGGATTTGCACCTCTCCAGCCTGCACACACGCAGCTTGAAAGCATTCAGCTCTCTGGAGCTTGGTGTTTTTAAGGGATTGCCTCTATTTCCACAACAGCTGGAGACATTGACTGCTCCGATAAACCAAGAGGTCGTCAATTTCTCTCGTATCCGGCCTCACTCGTCTGCATTTGCTTCCCCACCAATGTCTGCAGCTGTCTGGCTCGCTCACCACAGTCAGTGTGCAATGCAGTTAGCTCTGGTGGGGCGGAGGGGTCTGTCTGCTGAAATCCTTAGGGGAAGTCTGGGAAAAACCTACGGCAGGCTGAAGCAGAGGCAGACCCAAAAAGGATGCAAGAGAGGGAAAATAATGGATGGACCATGGGGCCTCTCCTTGCTTAGTCCCAGAGAGGAAGACAGGAACACATCCCAGCTGGGACAGGGAGTGAAGTCTGTCCCCTGCAATCAACAGTTGTGTAGGGAACACTGAGCAGAGTGACAGGACATGCACCTGTGCTCCGCTCTTCAGCGAACAGGGCCACCATGGGTCTCTCCTATTATAGACTTTACAGTCAGAAGAGACCCTCAGGATCATCTAGTCTGACCTCCTGCACATTGCAGGTCACAGAACCTCACCCACCCACTCCTGTAATAGGCCCCTAATCTCTGACTGAGTAACTGATGTCCTCAAATCATGCTTTAAAGACCTTAAATTACAGAGAATCCACCATTGACACTAGTTTAAACCTGCAAGTGAACCAGGCCCCACACTACAGAGGAAGGCAAAAAATCCCCAGGATCTTGGACAATCTGACCTGGGGGAAAATTCCTTCCTGACCCCAAATATGGTGATCATTTAGACCCTGAGCATGTGGGCAAGACCTAGCAGGCAGACCTCTGGGAAAGAATTCTCTGTAGTAACGCAGAGCCCTCCCCATCAAGTGTCCCATCTCTGGCTGCTGGGGATTTTTGCTACTGGCTGATGACAACAGCTACCCATTGAAATCTGAACGATGGAAGTAGCTTTGTAGGGGCTACTTGCGCACCCCACAGGGCACGTCTGGTGTCACCCTGCCTCTCACGTAAAGGCCCAGCCTCCTCCCACTGGCATTAAACGCCCAGCCTGAGCGCTTTCATATGGTGCCCTTGCTTCCTGCTACCCCTGCCCCAACCCACCCGAGTAGGGCTCTGCCCTACCCCTCCCCCGTTGCGGAGCGTCTGCCCAGCTGAAGGCAGCAGGGATCCAACCCCAACCCCAACATCTCATTGCAACTCCTCCTGCTGGTGTGGCTGAGTCACCTCCATCACAGGCTCCATGGCCCACTGCAGGGCAGGAACCCGGGGCTGTGCTCCCTGAGCTATCTCCTTACCCATGTCAATGACCTCCATGGGCACTGCATGGCAGAGCTCCAGCAGGTCAGGATTCTCCCGCTTTAGCTTCACTTTCTTGCTCAAGGTCAGGTCCGGACTCTGCTGGGTTTGAGAGGAGGAGATTCAAACAGGGAGCCCAGACACAGCCCAAGCCAACCCTCTCCCATACAACCCTTCCCCAGCCATCCAGCCCTTCCTCCTCCCAGCAAGGGTCGGTCCACCCTGCAATCCGAGGTGCAACTGAGCACTGCAGGCATACCTGAGCCAGCTTGCTAATAGCCACCAGCGTACACACCCAGGGTCCCAGGCAGGCTTGTATTTGGGTGCCTAACCTGGGCGCCAGAGCCTCTCTGCTAGTTTTAGCGAGCCAGCTGAATCAAAGAGAGCTTGGGTATGTCGACCCATGCTGCACTTACACTTCTGACTGCGGTGTAGACCCTACTCCAAGCCGCTTTGTAGCTGCTGGTCCCACCCAAAAACCAACCAGCCTAGTCCCCTCCCAGCTGTCCAGCCCTTCCTATAAGGCAACTCCTCCACAGCTGCCAAGCCATCCTGCTCCTCACCCCTCCCCCAGATTTCCCTTACCAGAGGCCTAAACCCGCCCTGACTGCTCCAAGTCAGCTTCCTCTCCCTCCACATGCTAAATGCTCCCTGTTTCCAGATGCCAGGCAAAATTCAGCCCTGGCATAAACAGGGCTAACTCCATAGACTTTGAAGCAGCTGCTCTTGCTGAGTGGGAATCTGACCTGCCTCTGTACAGTACCCACTTGTATACATCAGTCACTTTACCACTCCACGCAGGGCTGAATTTAGCCTGGCAGCTTTGGAAGGCTAAAGATCCCTTATGGCTGGGACGCATCACTGACTGCACTGCAGGTGTTTGTAACTTAACTACAGAGACAGGCCGGGGGAGGGGAGGGGAGGGGAAGGGAGGAAGGCCGGTCAGACAAAAACACTATTTGGAGGGGAAGTAGCTATTTTAAAAAAAACCCAGAGGCCACACAGCACTAGACCAGAATAGTCAGATTTGGAGCCTAAACTATCGTGGTCCTCTTAGTTGTGGGTTATTTTCACAGCAAACTAGGATCTTTGGCCCAGATCCCCAAAGGTATTTAGGCACCGAACTTCCCTTGAAATCAGTGGAAGTTTGGTGCCTAAATACCTTTGAGTATATTTGAGATTGGTCGGGGGAGGGAATGGTAAAGTGAGTGAAATATGCAAGAGGCTACTGTACAAGGCAGAGCACAGTCCCCCTCAGCAAAGGATGGTGCATACACGACACAGGAGCCATAGATGTATATGCCATGACAGGCAGTCACGGTCCATCTGGCTCAAGATTTGCAAACAAGTTTTACATGCAGCACTTTTGCAGAGCAACTCCTAGGAGTTAAAGGCAACAGAAGATAAGCAGACATTTGCGTAGCATCTGTCCTCCCAAATGTGCTTTATAAACTAACCATACACATGCCGTATATCACACGAGGAAGCGAGTGATTCCTTCATGGAGGAGCCAAATGCAATCACTGAACTGTTAAAGCAAGTCTGAGTATGGGGAGGGAAGAAGTCCGTCTCCTTCTCAAGCTGCATGGCTAACTGAGGAGCCAGAATGCAGTCAGCAGAGCTGGGATTTGGTGAGGGTGCTGGTGCTAACCTCCCTGCTTGGGCAAGGTGCCAGAGGAGCTTTAACGACTACATGGGAGCAGGCCCCGTCTCAAAGCTCTCCAGAAAACCACCCCTTCAAATCCCATGCAGGGGCATTGCCTGCTTCAGGCCTGACTCAGAGCCAACAACTAAATGGGCAGCACTATTGTCTGCACAGGTCACCCATCCAAGCCATGCACATAACGATCTGGCTGAGCAAGGGGGATCTGACAGACTCCAGGCCATGGCAGTGTGGCCGCACGTCACGGGGGGTAAAGCCTGAAGAATTAAACGGAGATTCCCCTGTGAGAAGGAATTTTGAGAGACACAGAACAGGCCCTGAAGTCAGAGTGTCTGGCCTCCTGATTCATGATGAGGATCCACCTCCAAGACAGCAGCCACTTCTAACAAGAACAAAGAACAACAGGACCCAAAACAGAAATGGTGGAAGTTCTAAGGTTAAAGCTACAACTTGTAACTGGGGCTGCAGAGGGTCCAAGAGCCAGTGACGCCATCACACCCCATGTGCTGCGATCCCCAGGCGCTACAGGGTGAGCACTGAACCCTGAGTTCTGTGTGATGAGCTGCAACTTTTCTGTGCACGTGTGTAAGCCTTCTTCATCCTCCTCACCTGTTTCCGATGCTGAAGGGCCTCTAGCACCGTCCGAGCCTTTTCAAAGGGAGGGATCTTTAACCTAGGAGAGTCCATCTGTTACGTGAGGACCCCAACACAAATGCCAGCCAGTGCAAATGGAGTCCCGGCCTAAGGAGGGAGATTGCTGACGCAGCGGGTGAAAGCATTGGCTTTTCACCTCTGAAGAGCTGGATGCAATCTACGCAGTAAAACATTGGTGCATTCTGACTACCGCACGTGAGCATGCTGTAATTCAGCTCCCCAGGCAAGGTCCCGGATTGAAAGTGTCACTGCAGGCCAAATCTGAGATGCCCAGCACATATAGGGCACTCAGAAAAAAAATAAAAGTCAGGGCTGTGTTGGTAGCGAGCGTAGTGCAGGAACTGCAAAGTACTCAAAGCTGAGGTGCACTGGATGTGCTGTCTGTGGGTGCTTAGCACTGGAATGGATATGGGCTGGCTGCATTTCAGCAAGGGAAATGGAAATGGGTGGCCTATCAACAGTTTGGATCCTTACATGGTGCTGGTCTCATAGCTACAGTGATGGGAATAACAAGGTCTGATATCTACTTACTATGTAAAAGGGACCCTATACATGAGCACCTTATGCTCGCTAATGTATTCATCCTCACAACCCCTAAGGCAGTGCTAATATCGACATTGTACAGATAGGGAAACTGAGGCAAAGAGCAGCTAAGGGCTTGTCTCCATAGGGAGTTCAGACCAGTTAACTGAAGCTGTGAAGTTAAGGCACATCAGTGAAAGTGCATCATAAACCCCCATTTGGAGAGGCTCATTCAGAAGTAAAGTGGCCTTAGTTTGCAGTAGCTGAATCCTCCTTGGGGGTTTTATGCACTTGACCTCCCGTGCATTAACTTCACAGCTTTAGTTATTTCATCTGAACTTTCCTCAGCGTCCCTGAGTAAACAAGGCCTGGTTTGCTCCAATGTCACATAGGGAGCCTGGGGTGGAATAGGGAATTGGACCCACTTCTTCATTGGGCCGGCCTCCTCCTCTCTGCTCTGCACCCTGCTCACCTGTAGAGAATCTCAGCTCGGAGGTAGTTGCCAATCCCATTGAAAAACTTCTGATTTAACAGGGCTTCGCAGATGGGCTTGTTGAAAGCCTTGTCACACAGGTTCCTCAGCACGTTCTCCCTGGAAGACAGCAGGGCCGGTCAGCTAGGGAGGAGGGGCTGGGGAAATGACCATTTCACTCAACCTGTGATGTGCTTCCAACACAGTAACCAACATGTGAGGTGGGGTTGTTCTCCAGTGGGGTTTTCTGCTGAAGAAGGGTCTGCCTCCCAACACAAGCAGGGAGAAGTGAAACTAAAAATGATGGAGGCTATGGTCTAGCGGGCACAAGTGAAACCTTGGGGGATGGTTCTTATAGCAAGACTGTAAATATAGATGTGAACAGTCTGTGTAGGAGAGAGGAGGGGGCAGCATTAGACATCAAGAGGCATTACAATAAGACAGGTAATGATAAAGGTAGAGGAGAAACCCTTTGGGTAAAGGTACAGGGATGACCCACTGTTTCCTTAGCAGGAGCAGCACATGGACTTGCAGTTCCAGTGCTGTAAGCTACTTGAATTCAGCCCCATACAGAACGGGTTCCCGGAATGCAGCAGTTATAAAGGTATTCGATTGCAGGGAAGCAAATTAAGAAATTGAGTGTGATAAGAGGAAGCATTAAAGACCCATCACAGCGTGAAGAAGGCTGGAGGAACAGTAAGACACATCGCCATTAAAGCATCAAAGGCAGTCTAAGAGTCCACTGAAACAGACGAATACAAAGAACAAGAAGGAGCCTTTGAAGAGTGGCTTTATGAAGGGCTGCTCTAAGATCTGCACATAGAAGAGCAAAGAAATAAGGGAACACCAACACGTAGAGTCAGGTGAGGCTTGCAGTGAAGAGACAAGGGTACAAGGAATGCTGCCAAAGGGAAATAAACATAAGTGGCCACACAGAAATGCACTGAAGAGGGAGTAGCTCATTCATCAAAGAGGAGAGGGATGAAACTAACAATGACTCAATACCTGAGATACTGGAATCCTTTTATGCAATCTGCCTTTGACAAGGTGCTCAGGGAATTAACCAACAAACTCACCAAGTCTCTGATGACTGAATGGGATACAATTAGGGAAAGGAAGATTTAAGAATATGAGGGGTGAAAAGATTGGAAGGGAAGCAGTGGAAACCCCAATGCTCAGCAAATTAAAAACTAACCCTGAAAATCCACTAATGAACGTACCACATGGTACGTGGGCAGGCAGGGACGTGCACCAGAGAACCCAATGACCCCTTTCAATCTCCAACCTCTGTCAGTCTGTGATACGCCCTTCAGCTACGAATTCTACCTGTGAAATACAAAGTGGGCACTTTGGCCCACAGCCTCTAAGGTATTTAGGCTCTTCCAATAGAAGTTAGGACCCTCATTATCTTTGGGGACCTGGTCCTTTGTCCACCAAGCTACAAAGCCCCTCCTTGCCTGCCATGGGATTTTGCGGGTGTTAAAGTAGCTACAGCAGGGTTCTCACTCTCTTGCACTATTTCACAACTGTAACAGACACATTAAGAGTGAAACATTAACTTGGACAAAATAATACAAGAGCTCAACCAAAGCCCTCCAGAAATCTGTCGTAGTCAGTTAACAGGTCCTAACCTAGGGGATCTCCAGATTTTTCCAGCCTCCCATTTTGCAGACATCTCCTCATGGACCTACCTCATTCTCAACCATTCAGCCTCCCCCTGCTTGGTTCTCAACATGCTGAATTGAGTGGCTAGCAAGGTGGTCTGCATAGCCCTGGAGAGCCATTGCTGTGAGGGTTAAATAGCTCAGCTGTGCTCTTCCCTCTTGCAACACTTAAGAATTATTTTTGTGCTGTTCACTTGTTATATAAAAAAAAGCCACACAGTAGGATGTTTAAACCAAGCCTGTTCCCTTATTCATAGTGAGATCTCAGGGAATACAAAGCACCAGACAAACCAGACAGTCTTCAATCCAAGACAAAGTTTCCATAAATGTGAGCTAGACGTATCCCTGTAATGGCGAAAGACCCCATATTCTATCACCAGGCGCCACACAGAATTCACTGTTAGAACATTGTGTTTATCATTCAGCCCGTGTCCCTGCCCATTCAACACACACTCCTGGTCAGTTTCTCAAGCAGAGATGAAAGGTCATGGTGGATCTCACCTGAATTTCTCATACTCCAGCATCACACATGGCCCTCGGTCCAGCTGCCACGTCCCGTGCACTTCCCACCGCCCGAAGCGCCTGAAATCCACGAAGCAGAGGGCTTGGCGCGGGCTCTCCTTGGTGTAAAACCGCAGGTGGGCATGTTTGGGCAGCTCAGCCCCGGAGGTGAGCTTGAAGCTGCCTGACATTCCAAAGCGGAAGACAAGATCCATGGGCTGCTGGGGACCGTTCTGGCTCTGCCCCTCCTTGCCCCTCTCTCTGCCAGGAAGCGTATTCTTCTCCTCTTTGAGTGGCATCAGGGTCAGCTTGATCTCTTTGCCCCGCGAGGTGGCAGAGATCAGGTACGCGTCGCTCTCAAACAGCACCTCTGGGTTCTTGCTCACTTCAGACTTCTCCACCTTCCCCGAGAAGATGAGCCCTGCACATACCGTGTTGATGTAGCAGCTAGCCAGGTGAAGCTCTGGTCCCTCTGGCATCTTAGACACCTAAGGCAAGACTCAAGCATAAGGCAGAGCAGCTACCGTAGCACATGCATCTTACTAATCAGGGCGGGCAGCTCTCTCAGTCCCTGGCTTTGCTGGGCCCTCCTGGCCGGTGAATATGGACCCAACAGTAGGTGCGCAGGGGACAATTGCAAGGCAGAGGCAGTGGACAAGGATACCATGGAGAATGGGTATTAGGGATGGGGCCACCTGGCCATGGGCTGAGCCACTAACCCATTCCATGAGGAGCCAGTGCACAGCCAGGAGATAGGCACCATCAAGCTGGCTGGGACCAGGAACAGAGATGGGCCCTGGGTCCCTGTGAGCCAGGAAGCTCCCCACAGGAACCCCAGCACAGGGCCAGCTTCCCCCCCCCCCCCCGCAGCCAGTGCCCCCCCCCCCCCAGCACAGGGCCAGCTTCCCCCTCCCGCAGCCAGTGCCCCCCCCCAGCACAGGGCCAGCTTCCCCCTCCCGCAGCCAGTGCCCCCCCCCAGCACAGGGCCAGCTTCCCCCTCCCGCAGCCAGTGCCCCCCCCCAGCACAGGGCCAGCTTCCCCCTCCCGCAGCCAGTGCCCCCCCCCCCCAGCACAGGGCCAGCTTCCCCCTCCCGCAGCCAGTGCCCCCCCCCCAGCACAGGGCCAGCTTCCCCCTCCCGCAGCCAGTGCCCCCCCCCCCAGCACAGGGCCAGCTTCCCCCTCCCGCAGCCAGTGCCCCCCCCCAGCACAGGGCCAGCTTCCCCCTCCCGCAGCCAGTGCCCCCCCCAGCACAGGGCCAGCTTCCCCCCTCCCGCAGCCAGTGCCCCCCCCCCAGCACAGGGCCAGCTTCCCCCTCCCGCAGCCAGTGCCCCCCCCCAGCACAGGGCCAGCTTTCCCCCTCCCGCAGCCAGTGCCCCCCCCAGCACAGGGCCACCTTCCCCCGCAGCATGCCCCCCCCCAGGGCCAGCTTCCCCCGCAGCCATCCCCCCCCCAGCCCAGGGCCAGCTTCCCCCCCGCAGCCAGTGCCCCCCCCCAGCACAGGGCCAGCTTCCCCCCCGCAGCCAGTGCCCTCCTCCCCAGCCCAGGGCCAGCTTCCCCCCGCAGCCAGTGCCCCCCCCCCGCACAGGGCCAGCTTCCCCCGGCCTTCCCCCTCCCGCAGCCAGTGCCAGCTTCCCCCCCCCCCGCACAGGGCCGGCTCCCTGCTCCAGCCAGCTCCCACCCCGCCCGGGTTTGCAGGGGGCCTGGAGGCAGTTACACAACCAGGCACCGCAGCAGCCCGGCTCCGCAGTCCCCGCCCACAGCCCCAGCACGGGGCCGGCTCCCCCCTTCCCCTCAACCTGCCCCCCCCCCAGCCCGGCTCCCCAAAGCCTGTCCCAGCACAGAGCCGGCCGGGGCACCTGAGCTCCCGCTCGCACTGTTCGTCGGCAACCAGAGGGTTAAACAGCCCCCCCACCCCTGCTGGGAGGGGCGGGGCAACGCGGGGCACGATGGGAGTAGTAGTTGCAAAGGGGAGCTCCCGCCTACAGGGTGGGGAGCGGTGGTCCCCAGGCCCGCGTGGCTGCCGGGGAGGGGCTCGGGGGCACGGGCGGGGAATGGAATTCTCCTCCTCCGCCCTGGGCCTTGTAGTCTATGGCTGGCTGGCTGGGGAAAAGCACCGCACAGCCCCCCTGCACCCCACTGTCCTGTGGCCCCCCCAGAGCAGCTACCGCATGGGCACCCCTGCATCCCACCGTCCTGCACCCACCCAGAGCAGCTACCACACGGACACCCCTGCATCCCACCACCATCCTGCCCCCAGCCAGATCAGCGACCGCCTCAGCAGCACTGCTGCCAGCTTCCCCGTGCACTGTGCGGATGGGTCGCCTCCCTGCCCCACAGTTAGATTTACCAGAGCCAGCCTACAGAGCAGAGTTATTCATAACCTACTTGCTGGGCACAAGGTCACAACATGCCCCAACTTCTCTCATAGAGATGATTCCTCTCTCTCCCCACCCCAGCACCATTTAATCTTGCCTCCAGCGTAAGCTTCAGAGACCAACAGAATGAAGCACACTGATGTGTGGTAGCTGTAACAACTTTTACCCTATCTTCTACCCCCCAAGCTACTCTTATCCATGTATAACACTAAGGTAAATCTTACCAAGCTATTTGCCACACTATCTTACAACAGTTAGTTATCTGTTGTGTGACCTAGGCAGTGTGGCTGAGGTGACAGACCTCTGGACTAGGACTCATAACTAGTTTCCAGTCCCAGCTCCTCTGCTGGCTGACCTTAGGCAAGTCACTCCCCCCCCCCCACTGCCTCAGTTTCCCCACCTGTAAATTGGGGATAATGATACTGACCACCTTTTTAAAGTGTGTTGAGATTTACTTCTGAAAGTGTGATAGAAGAGTTAATAATACCTAACAAGCTATTGTTTGTACCATTTTAATTGTATTGCCTTTCAATTCAATGGACCACGGCCTTGTTCTTAAAAATACAGGGCTGCCCTGGTCTTTTGCTGTTCAGCAGCAATTTACCAAATTATTTCAAAGTTAAAATGGTTACCCACTTCACTGCCTTCGGGCTATGTTGACTTTGCTCTAAAGGAGCAACTGCATGATCCCCAAGCTGTGAAGTTGTTGTAAATCAGAACCCTGAGCTGTAGCCAGGAAAGGGGGTTAGCACAATAGGGCACCAGTGGCAGGGGCCAATGTAAACGGAGCACAATTTAAATGAAGTTACCAAAACCCAACTGGTCCCTCGATGGCTGTGTTACCAGAGCTGTGCCTGGGGCAACGGCTGGACTAGCCAGGGTTGCTACAAGACAAGGCTGGGGTGAGTGAATAGTTTATGGACTTTGCCTACGCTGGCTCTGGTTTCTACAAAGGTCAGGACTGAAGGAACAGGGAGGGTGTATGTGGGATGGAGAGACATTGACAAAGCTGCAGGGGCTGGCAATAGGTTACAGAGTACCTGCCAGTATGATTAATTTTGCCTGCGGCATCAGTCTCTCCCTTTCAAATAGATAAGACAGGGATCGGCAACCTTTGGCATGCAGCCCATCAGGGTAAACCCCTGGTGGGCCGGGCCGGTTTGTTTACCTGCAGCATCCGCAGGTTTGGCCGATTGCAGCTCCCACTGGCCACGATTCGCCGTTCTAGGCCAACAGGGGCTGTAGGTAAACAAACTGGCATGGCCTGCCAGGGGCTTACCCTGACCGACCGCGTGCAAAAGGTTGCTGATCCCTGACTTAAGATTTACTCCAGTTATTTAAAGACAAGTCTCTGTTCCCCATCTCATGAGGGTTTCAGAAATGAGGGCACAGGGGTAACAAGGGAGGCAGCAGTGCAAATTAAAAACGCTTCTGTGGGGCGCTACCTTTGTTAACCACGTGGCTTTATTGGATCCCGCTGGCAAAACAGGAAACTACATATAACTGGCTTCATGTGCCAAGGCCAACCGGAAACGCATGGAGAGATTCACAGATGCATGTTCCTGCTGATCCTTTATTCCATGCACTGAGCTGCCCTTGAAAAGGTGGTAGGTGCGGAAGGGGGAGGCTGGGGGTGGAGAAGGAAAGATAAATGCAGCTTTTCTACCCCCCCCACAGGCAAGAGGCTCCTTTAGAGGAAGTGGAAAGAACAGTGGCAAAGTGCTTTTTAGGGGAGGGATGCGGGGGAGCAAGAAGGGACTAGAGAACACTCCACCTGCTTCAGCTGGTGAAACTTCCCAACCTCTTATGTACGACTGGGAGAGTTGCCCCAGCCATCCCGGATTGCTGCAGGAGTTCAGTCAACAGGTGATGTGGAGCTGGCCTAGCCGCAGCGTTTGGTGGGCTGCAGCACGCTACGTCTCCAGAGGAGACATGGGAACCCGCGCGCCTGCCCTGGAGTAGCCACAGGAGACAATTCAGGCAGAAGCAAAAGGGCAGATCAGCTCCCTGCAGCTGTTCAGGAACAGAGCTACCAACAAAGGGCTGGGCAGGGGATTTCAGGGTCTTTCAGTGTTAAATTAGCCTCCAGCCGGCAGGCCTGGGTATTCTCCGGAGGTGTGTGTGTGTGTGTATGTAACACGGTGGCATGGCCCAAGGGTTTGTACACCTTTGTTATGGGAACTCCGAGCTGAAGCTGGTCTCGAGGTGGAGATCTCGTTAGCAGATGCAGAAGCCACCAACCCCCACATCCACCATTGCTCTGGGGATGGGTCCTGGGGTGGGGGTCCTGGAAGCACAAGGGCTTGTAGGCAGGTTGGAGGAGGGGCAGGCAGGAGACAGCAAGAGAGGTGGGCAGCGGAGACAGCAGCCAGCAAGAGTGGGAAGAGCAGTCATCAGTTTCAGCTGCAGGGATCTGAGAAGGGAGGAGAGAGCCCAGTCCAACCTCTGCCCAGGCAGTGTCTGCAGTTGTGTGCAGCGAGGGGCTTCCCCAGCGGAGGAACCGCACCCACCAGACTCTCCGATGGGCCTCTGCACAATCAGCTGGCTCCTTCCACGCTCGCTGCCCTCCTCAGCTGAGAGTTTTCATCATGGCGTGGGCCTGTCTCAGCTCTGAAAGTGGAAGAGGAGATGCAAACAGCCAATGGGGGCAGAATGACCTGGATCTCAACAGGGGACGCTGCAGCCGGTTCCCAATTCACTGGTCACAGCAGGGCAGAGAATAACCTCTCCGCTGTGAGCAGGAACAGAGAAATGACACGACTGGAGACAGCCAATCTCTGCCCCAGCCAGTAGGGGGAGCAGAGGGGACACAGGAAAGGAAGCACCAGCCGGCAGGGCAGGGACGAGGCGAGCGATTCCAAGCTGCCCGTCTGCTGTCTACTCACCTGCCAGTAAGACCCGGAACTTCTCTGCTGACATGGTCATGGCAAAGGGCTCCGTCCCGCCTCGGTCCCCGTCTCGCACGGTGAACTTCAGGTGCACGAGGGGCTCGTTGACCTGCTGGAGCTCGCTGGAGCTGAGTGTGTGATCCACCCTCCAGGACACAGAGTCCAGACGGTTCACTGAGGACAGAGGCAGAGCCAGTCTCAGATTTGCACTGTCAGTGTAAAACACTCTCTCTATGCACGAGCCAGCGATATGGATTTGGGAAGCATTTTTCAAGAGCATTAAGCGGTTTCTCACACCCCTGAAATGCAGCCACCTCTGGTGTGTGTGCAACACAGCAACTGTCTTACCAGCCCACAGCGACAATGTAAGACATTACAGGAAGGAAATGTCTCCAGTTGAAATAACAAGGGAGTTTCGGTCAGTGGAGTGGAGCGCTCCGAGATAGCTGTGTTATCCCAGCCACAACCCTCATTGCAAAGATTCCCATGAGTCCAAGCGGTTAGCACCGCCTCAGCTCTGTCTCCCTTTGCGGCCGAGAGAGGTAACGCAGTGTCCTGCAATGCCCTGCTGGGGCGCTGCTTCAGCGCTGGCTCACAAGGCAGAGCACCGCCTAGTGCAAAGGTGGGCAAACTCTGACCCGCGGGATCCTCCTGCCCGGCCCCTGAGCCCCTGGCCCAGGAGGGGAGCCCCCAGCCCCTCCCCTTCCCCCACAGCCTCAGCTCACTGTGCTGCTGGCGCAATGCTCTGGGCAACGGGGCTGTGAGCTCCTGATGGGCAGTGCAGCTGCAGAGCCGTGACCTGACCCGGTGCTCTGTGCTGCGTGGCTGGCTCCAGCCGCGTGGCGGGGCTGCCTGTCGAGGCAGCGCGGTAAGGGGGCAAGGAGCGGGGGGGGGGTAGATAGAAGGCAGGGGAGTTCCAGGGGTGGTCAGGGTTGTGGATAGGGGGTGGGGCGGTCAGGGGGCAGGGAACAGGGGGGTTGAATGGGGGCAGGGATCCCGGAGGGGGGGCAGTCAGGGGTGGCGGGTCTGGGGGCCGTCAGGGGACAGGGAACAGTGGAGGGGGTTGGATGGGGCAGGGGTTCTGGAAGGGCCATCAGGGGACAGGGAACAGGGGGGTGGGGGGTTGGATGGGGCAGGAGTCCAGGGGGGGGCATTGGGGCGAGAAGCAGGGGGGGGGGGTCAGAGATGGGGCGAGGACCAGGCCATGCCTGGCTGTTTGGGGAGGCACAGCGCTCCAAACAATTTTGGAAACCCGATGTGGCCCTCAGGCCAAAATGTTTGCCCGTCCCTGGCCTAGTGCATCACCTGCACCACTCCCTGCTGCACTTGGATTGTCCCGGAGGTGAACTAACCTGGGCAGCTCCTAACCTACCAGGCTGACAAGGTCACAGCCCAAGGGGGTCAGACAACAGGGTTCTGGTCCCAGCTCCTGGTCATCCCCTCTGTTGCTGCTGAAAACCCAGTCACCCTCAGCAAACTGACCCTGTCCCACAGCCCTCAGAAGCAAGTTCTCCCCAGGAAGTCCCAGAGGAGAATGGCTGGGGAAAGTCCTATTGAACTTCCATCCATGGACACAGGAGAACAGCTGGAGGAGTGGGGGCAGTGGGTACCAGCAGGGCCTGTACCCCTGCTGAAGGACCATCTCCCATCTGCGGCCTGGAGCAGTGTCAGGTTTGCACGGCTAGAGGGGGAACGCTTACATCTCAGGCTGCGTGCCCTCAGGCTGTCCTGTAGGGGGCTCTGTTTCTCCTCATAGGACCGGCACAATCCTGTGGCATGTTCTACAAAACACAGAGACCAAGAAATCACCCACCAAAGAGCATCAGATCAGTCCCTGCACAACACGACTCCGGTTCCAACAGGCTCAGAAGGGACCCTGGCTGCGAACAGCTGAGTTGGCCTGTTTAGCAGGAGGACTCTAACAGGATGCTGACACTGGGGCGCACATGGGATAACGGGCGGATGATGGTACCCTAGGGCATTTCAATCAGAAGATGGCCCAGCTACTGCTCCAAAGTCCTTCCTGATGGTTAACACAGCGAGTTCTAACTTCTCACGGATGGGAGAGTGCGGGGGACACACAACCCAGCAGCAATCGCCTCCTCCCCCCGAGAGCCAAGGTACTGAATTCCACACAGGGCTGGAGCAAGGCTGGTAGGACACAGTTATCCAGGGTTACAGCCTGGTGCACGGGGTGGACAGACTCAGCTCTGCTCCCCAGCACCCTCCTCTGGCTGACATTGCACCAGAGGGTCAGGCTGCCGCTACCAAACCCAGGGCTCCCCAGTGTGCTGCAGCCCACTCCAAGAGACCCATCCCTTGGCACTTCCCCTACCTTTGGGCAGCCCCAGCTGTTGCAGCTCGCTGGACAGAGAGTCGCTGTCTACGCTGTGTTTGGCCGCGCTGGAGAGGATGAAGCTGAGCACGGCAATAGTGGCCTTCACATCCCCAGACTCTGGAGAGAGGAGGAGAAACCTTTGGGCCTCTGCATGGCAGCAGGGCTCTTCCCCGCAGGGAGGCAGCTTTGATAGACCCTTGCAAGGGTCCGTGTCCATTGACGTAGGATCCGACAGCCCTAGACGTGGCCTGCCCTTTGCAGTTCATCGTCTGCAAGAGACTAGAGAGGGTGCACAGACAGATGCCGCCTCGCACTGGGCCACGAGGGGCAGCAGGGAAACAGGCATAAAGAGCTGGACTCATTGTCACCAACCTGGGTGAGAAGCAGCAATGGGCAGCGGACTGATGTATGTGGGAGGGAGGGGGGAGTCAATGCAACCAGCAGGGCTCAAAACAGGTTAGGATTTAAACAAGCCTGGGACAGGCAGGAGTTAAGTCGAACTAGAATCAACTGATGCTAGGGATCCAAATACTAATAATGGCCAAGGGCCAGAGGAGTAAGGGCCTGTCTAAGCGAACACTTAGCTCGTGGCAAGCAGGGGTTTAAAGCCGCCCTGCCCTAGCCAGCTGTGCACTGTCCGTGGACCCTGCTGCTGCAGACTAACAGCTCCCTAGGGCACTTTCACCTACTCCTGTTTCCAAGCAGGGCGGATCCCAGGCGCACTGCGGAACTCGGGGTGTGGAGCAGGGTCCACCCGGTCACCTAGCACGTGGCCGATTTACACCCTGGTTTGCTGAAACTAACCATTCATACAGCCAAAGCCTAAGGTTAACACTGCACAACCATCAGACCCAAGTGTCAGTAAGGGCCAAGCCACAGCACGGCAACTCAGCTGGGGTCAGCTCATTCATAAAAACCAAAACAGACATTTCACAGCTTACATCATGGTCCCATCTGGCCTCGATCGTCCAGTCTGATCTGTGTAACACAGCCCACTGGGCGTCCCTGAATTAATGCCTGTTTGAACCACAGCAGATCTGGATTTAGAAATCGCCAGTGATGGAGAGCACTTGGGCAGTTGTTCCAACGGTTAACGACCCTGTTAAAAACACCTTATTTCCAGTCTCAATTGGTCTAGCTTCAACTTCCAGCCATTGGCTCATGTTAGACGTTTGTCTGCTGGACTGAAGAGCCAATTATCAGCTGTTTGTTCCTCATGTAGGTACTTACAGGTTTCCATCACGTCACCCCTTAACCTTCTCTTTGTTGCGCCGACCAGGCTGAGTTCCTGGGACCCATCCCCTCCCCTCTGCATTGCCACACTAAGACAGCAAGTTCTGCAGGGCAGGGACGGGGGCTGTTCGGGCAGCGCCTGGGAAGTTTTGATTGCTACTGTGATCACCACAACCATCAGGCCCAGGGCTCTTCCACACGCTCAGGAAAATGGTGTTATCCCCCAACGCAAGGGCCCAGAACCACCCAAAAATATAAAGCCAGGGCAGCATCTGGAGTGAGAAGGGGAAACTCGTCAGGCTGCCAATTAGCAGCGTCTCCCCCAAACAGAACAGGGGCAAGGACCCTGGGAGATTAGCAGGGCTCCTGTGCTTGCTCACAAGCAGAGGGTACCATTGGTTTCCAATGGCTGAGCATTAACTCTTCAGGCCTTCACTGCTTCAGGACGTGCCTCTCCACTCGAGACCCCAGCCAGCGACGCTTTTCAGACAATGTTGCTAACAAAGCCGAGCCCGGCGCCCATAAACACTGCAGGTAAAATGTCCTCAGGCCAGGGCACTGGGGTGTGGAATGGGCCGGGGGGGAGGTAAGAGTCAGCCAAAGCCTGGCCTAGCATCTCAAAGCCACTGGTTTTCCGCAGCCTTCCTGCCGTAAGCACAGACAGAGGAATGTCTGTTCTAGTAATGAAGCCAGCAAAGCTCCCTGGAAGGTGGGTGAGGCAAAGAGCCAAATCCACCGTGACGGCCTCACAGACAGCACTAGAGGAGCCCAGGCTACGGGCACCCAACTGCTCTGAAAGGGAACGACACTCACCAAACTTGGCATCCGACGTTAGCTTCAGGATCTTTTCATACTGCAAGAGAAGAGCAACACGCAGGTCCATCAGCCCCAGGGCACTCTGTTCCCGGGGCACACAGCACGGTGCAGAATGATCACAGAGCCCTCTGAATGACAGGTTTCAGAGTAGCAGCCGTGTTAGTCTGTATCCGCAAAAAGGAGTACTTGTGGCACCTTAGAGACGAACAAATTTATTAGAGCATAAGCTGATCCCTCACTCTCACAGATCTTGGGAGACAGACCAGTCCTCGCTTACAGACAGCCCCCCAACCTGAAGCAAATACTCACCAGCAACCACACACCATACAACAAAAACACTAACCCAGGAACCTATCCTTGCAACAAAGCCCGATGCCAACTCTGTCCACATATTTATTCAGGGGACACCATCACAGGACCTAATCACATCAGCCACGCCATCAGGGGCTTGTTCACCTGCACATCTACCAATGTGATATATGCCATCATGTGCCAGCAATGCCCCTCTGCCATGTACATTGGCCAAACTGGACAGTCTCTACGCAAAAGAATAAATGGACACAAATCTGACATGAGGAATCATAACATTCAAAATCCAGGAGAAGAACACTTCAACCTCTCTGGCCACTCAATAAAAGATTTAAGGGTGGCAATTTTGCAACAGAAAAGCTTCAAAAACAGACTCCAACGAGAAACTGCTGAGCTTGAATTAATATGCAAACTAGATACCATTAACTTGGGTTTGAATAGAGACTGGGAGTGGCTGGGTCATTACACATATTGAATCTATTTCCCCATGTTAAGTATCCTCACACCTTCTTGTCAACTGTCTAAATGGGCCATCTTGATTATCACTACAAAAGTTTTTTTTCTCCTGCTGATAATAGCTCATCTTAACTAATTAGCCTCTCACAGTTTGTATGGTAACTTCCAACTTATCTGTATCTCTCTCTCTCTCTATCTTACTCTATGTTCCATTTGGTGCATCCGATGAAGTGGGCTGTAGCCCACGAAAGCTTATGCTCTAATAAATTTGTTAGTCTCTAAGGTGCCACAAGTCCTCCTGTTCTTTGAGCCCTCTTAGCAGATCCCCCATGGGGCAAGTAGAGCCAGGCTAAGGCCAACAATTCCATAAGGGGCCTCTGGTTTTGGGTGCACTTGGAGTCAATAGGAGTGGTGGGGGCTCAGCACTTCTGAGTAATGGGGCCGAAGTGTCTCAAGGGGGAACCCAAATTACCAGAAGCTACTGGATTTAGCCTAAGTAACCTGCCCAAGGCCACATGGCACGTGGCTTATCGGGGACTAGGACTCCTGGGTTCCTGCCTCCCACTAGACCAAGCTGCCTTCACAATGTGGGGTGCAGGAGAGGCCATTCCCACTGGCTGCTAGTGCTCCAGGCATGTCCTACAGGGAACCTCCATGATCCAAATAGTGGGTCAGCTGCTGTATGCGATGGGTGTTACAAATGGCTCAGCCCCATGTCCCCTAGTGGCCAAACCCCTTTGCTGCAAGACTTCAAGGGAATCCGTGTTGTCAACCACCGGCCTTTCTCCTAGCGATGGCAGGGCCAATGGGTGGATGAGGTGAAGCAGACCACACAGGACCCTTAGAGCAACAGACACTAATATTTACTAGTAAGTATTTAGCAGCCATACGGCCCTTTCCACCAGCAGATCTCCCCGATGGGGGGGAGGGGGTATCACTGGCCTTTTACAGATAGGGACACAGGCTTTAGGCACCTTGCCCAAGATCAGTGGCAGAGCTGGGAATAGAACCCAGGTGTCCTGACTCCCACTCTGATACCCCACCCACTCCACCGCACTGCCTGCCCTAAGGCTGGCCAGCTCGACATGGCCCACGCCACCCAGCCAGGGGGAGGGGAGACTTGAGTCTCTGCGATCGCTGGATCCCGGCTCAGCTAGGCTGAACGTGGGAGAAGAACGCCCTTCACTTACATCAATTCCCTCGCCCTGCAGGTCCTTGAGCACCTGGCCACAGATGAGCTTCAGCTTCACCGAGGACTGGAAAGGAGAGAGCAAGAAAATAAAACCCCACCACAGTGCTGGGCCTGGCGGGCTCTGTCTGGCACGAGTCTGAGCTCCCCTCAAAACACACACTTTACACCACATCAGGGGGACCCATTTCAACCTTGCCCTGCCCCAGCCAAACAGCCAGTGGTTTGGGTTGTTTATAAACCACTCGCTTCTTGCCACTTTGGGGCACACCATGGTTTGGATTCCACAAAGAGACTCCCTGAGCATTGGATGCAACATTCAGGCTAAAGCCCCAGCCAGCTCTTATAGTGCACTGAGCGTATTGCTCGAGCCCTCAATCAAAGCCTGTTCTACATACTTCCCGAGCCTCTCCCCGCTCTCTTAGAGACGCCCTCTCAACCAGGGACAGGTGCAGAGTTCACGGCGGTCGCTCAGGGACCTGAGCTCTCCCCCTTCATCAGACATCCCGAGTCCCAGAGCTCAGATCGGGATGCATCACTCAGATATTCCCATTGCTCCCCAAGGCCATCGTACCCCTCTCGACGGTCAAGGCTCCATGCTGACTGTCTGGTTTCACAGCACCCGATACTGTCTCTGCGGGGGTTTAAGAGCAAAAAGTGCTCAGATCCCAGGGTGCTGGGCACCGGATAAGATCCAGAAGACAGAGAAAGAGAAAGTTTCCACTTAACTATTTTGGCCAAGGTGCTGATTTCGGCGAGGACCCAGTCGGGACAGTCCAAGTCTCCACAGAACCGGAACCTCTGGAAGGAGAAGATCGGGGGCAATTAGGACCCAGGTGGCCTTTGGGCCAGGGGACGTCAGCGGCAGAGAGTCCTTTGCAGGGCAGCCCTGCTCTTCTTGCCAGAGCAGGGGAACCCTCATTTCCCACCGTTATCGCTGCCCTGTCTCCATTGCACCAGAAGAGCCGCCCCCCAGATTTCTCTCCTCTCTGCTCTGACTGAGCCTGCTGCAGAGCCGGACAACAGCTGGGTCGATCCAGAGCTGTACAAATAACTCTCCTCCTCAGGCCCTGGGTCCCCACTGTATAACGCCCCTGCGAACTCAGGCGCAGCGGCTCCGTGCACGGAGGCCGTCAGCCTTTGGAGCAAGCTCCTGGGGAGAACAACCAGACTCAGCTGGTCAAGCTCAGCCCTGGCACGAGGGGATGCAACTGCCCTGAATTCAAAGGGCTTCCCCCAGGGCTGAACTGGGCCCAGAGTCTGAAGGAGACAGACTCATCCCCGGAGAAGGAAAGAGTTGGAGGGGCCTGGGGTATGCCCAGAGGGATCAGTCTGATGAAGGGGTGGGGTGAAGGTAGGACAGGGCAGATGGCCCCTTCCTGTTCCTAAACCTCTTCCGTTCCTAATAGCTGCCAGTTAGGCCGCAGCTTCAGCAGTTTAACCCAGCAAACGCTGGTACAGACCATGAGCCTGCATCCTGGAGCAGCTGCTTTATACCCGCTGCAGTTAGGCAGTGAGTGCAAGGGAACAAGTCTCTGGGAGCTCACGTATACAGGTCCACAGGCTACAGAACCTGGCATAAGCTGCTCAGAGCAGGGGGCAGACATCTGGGTCGAGGGGAGCAGGATGGCTGATTCCCCCCAGCGTTTAACATTAACGTGGCTCTGAAATGATCCTTTCCCCTCCCACTCATTCCCCTGCACACCCAGTGCTGAAGCCTTTAGTACTCCCTGCTTTAGAAACACAGGTGCTGCTACGGCAACAGCCCATCAGACCCGGCATCCTGCCCCCAGCCCTGGCCAGTGCTGGCTGCTTCAGAGGAAAGATGCATTACAAGGAGTTGTCACTTGCCCCATCCTGCAGGGCAGTACTTTGGGTGGTGGGAGTGAGGCAGGGAAGGCAGCGTTTCCTTCCTGACCCCTGCAGGCTACTGGCCTGCACCCTGAAGCAGGAGATTCATTTATCCCGAGCACATTTAACTAGGAGAGGTATTAGAACTCAAAGGGGTGTCATTCCGTTCCCCGGCTGCCACTGTGGGTTCCCCAGGCCAATTACCCACTGTGCAAAGGGGCAGCTCTTTCTATTTGCTCCAACTCCTTCCTGGGACCCCACTGATCTCAGGTCACCGGAGGGAGGAAGCAGTTTTTAAGCCAGACCCTTCACAATGTTTAACCCCAAATCCCTTCTCCCCCTTCCCTGATGCACATGTTAGGAAGCTCGTGACACTGGCCTGGCGAACCCCAAGGACTGGGCTAGTAACGGGGAGCCCTCAGGCGTGGCTCCCGTTGTAGTACCCAGAGTCCCTGCTGCCCCAGGAACTCAGCTCTGCATCGCCCCCGGCCCCCAAATCCCAGCAAAGGCCTAACACCCCCCAGCCAGCCATGCCCAGCGCCTGCGCTCACCATGGTTTCCTGCTGACTCTGCAACGCCGGGCACGGGACCCCTCACCCACGCCAGGGCTGGAAGCCATCAGCTGATCTCGGAGCGCAGTCAGCTGACCACAGACTTCCCTGCGCCGCAGCCTGTCAGCAGCGCGCTGAGCCGAGTCAGCTGACCGCAGATTTAGTGGCACTTCAGCCGTGGAGCCTGCTGACTTATTGCACAGACTGAGCCTCAGCCCCTGGCAGCTCTTCTCTGCTGCCAGGCTGGGGGGTTACCAAGTCCCCTGAGACAAGGGGTGTGGGAGGGGATGTCTGTTATGGGGCCAGCTTCTGTTGGTGGGAGAAAGGAGCTTCCGAGCCACACAGAGCTCTTCTTCGGGCCAGGCTGTGTAGGCTTGTCTCTCTCACCAACAGAAGCTGATCCCATAAAAGATATCACCTCCCCCACCTTGTCTCTCTAACATCCTGGGACCAACACAGCTGGAACAACACTGCATCCAAAAAAACCATGAGTTTTTAAAAGACTGCTACGACCGTTAGGGGTTCTTTTCCTTTGGTGTCTGGTTTTTGAGGCTTCAGGTCTTAAGTTTTGAAGCTTTTTCTATACAATGCTGGGTGCTGGAAAATGGTGGGTGGGGGGGTTAAATGGAAACTGAGATTCTCACATAATCTCATGACTCCATGAGTTGGGGCTTTAAGGCAAAGCACCAATTGTCATGAGTGAGACAGATGATAAAGTGAGCTGAGTCAAATCCAGCACCCTACTTTGTCGCTAAATTAAAGCAGTGAATGATCAGTTTTATTGGGTAATTGTCACAAAGGCCAAAGAATGGGAGCCCAACTCCACCCCTCCCCCAAATTCTAGGGAAGTTCTGATCCAAATGTCATTGCTTGGGTTTCTCTCTCTGATGGGCCAGACTGGAACCCTAAATCCAAACGTGTCCAGTCTCGGGGGGAGTTCAGATTTTGATCTGAATCCAGAGCAGGTTTGGTCCAAGCTCTTCCAAAAATGTGCCTATGACACACTGCCGGGGGCGGGGGGGGGAAGCTTTAGGGGATAGAGTGGTTCTGTGTTATTACTAAGATGCAGTCACTTTCAGAACAGCTTGATGCTTTCCTTAACATTGCTGTGGGGAATGCAGGAGGGATTGGGGACGGGGTGAGAGGGCATCAATGCCTTCAGGAAGGGCTAATAGCTTAGATGGGCAGGGGAGGGTCAGGTCAGCCTGGCTTTGGCTGTGGGCTGGCTCCTGATCACAGCCTTTTCCTATCTCCCTGGCCACCTATTGGCTTTCCAGCCTCCAGCTCCGCACACCTTTCCCCTCTCCAGCTCCCTATCGCTCAGTAACTGGCCAGGAATCTCCCCATGCTGCACTGGGACACTGGTCCCCTTTGTGTGTTCCTGGTGCAGACAGTGTCCCACAGCTGTAGGGAGTTAAGAGCAGCTCTGCAGAGGGAGGTGAAGCTGGGTCTAAAAGGAAGGAGGCCACTGAGGGGCCTGGCTTAGGGTATAGCGTTTCGCACACACCCAGGATTTAGGTCAATGGAAAGATCGTTCCCTCTCTGGCTGTACATGAGAATGAACCAGCCTGGGCATACTGAAGGGTAGGAGGATGAGGGAGGAGCACCAGCTCCCTGCCAGCACCACACCTTGCCCAGAGGAGCTGGGGAGGGCTATGCAGGTGCCAGGTACATCCAGTGGGTTACGCACCAACTTCCCTGCCTCTTTTGCTTGGGTGACTAGCCCCCCTCCCACACACACTCCCCCAAAATGATGGGAGAATGTTGCAAGCTGAACCTTGTAGCATGAAATCCTGGCCCTGGAGAAGGCAGTAGCAAAACCCCCATTGGCTTCAATAGGATTTCAGTGGTAGTATTTCCTCTCCCACATGAACCCACCTCTCGCCTCTCCACCTTAAAAACAGTCTCCTAGGAGATCTCTCTACCCTTGGGCCCAGAGCTCTTGTTCAAAGCACCTGGAGCAAAATGGCCATAAAAATATTGAAACACTAATCTTGGGGCTGACAAGGCCTGAGCTAATGTCACTGCTCCATTGCCTGTTTTTGCTGCATCCTTTGCCCCACCCTTCATCTGGGTATTTAGCGTGTAAAGTGTCTGGGACAGAACCTTGTCTTCATCCTGATCTCACACATTCTTTCACAGCAAATGGGGAAACCGAGGGTCAGGGAGTTTAAGTGACTCACCCGAGATAACATCAGGGGGTTGCATGCTAGCAGAGAAAACTGGCATGCTTTTAAACAGCTATTGTGTTCAATTTATCAGACAGTAGGGTTTTTGTTAAAAGCCAATGTTTATATAGGACCTAAACATTAATCTTTTGTGCAGCTGCATTTAATATGCCTATTATAATTTATATTACAGTTATGGGTGCCAGGTGTGTATAATTTTTGGTGGTGCCCAGAACAAGTCCAAGCAGAGCCATCCCCAGGGCAACCGCCCCAGGCCCTGCACTGTGGGGGGGCCACACGCTTTGGGGGGATGAGGGGTCCAGATAGAGCTGTCCTGTCCATAGGACAGACCAGGGCAACCACCCCAGGGCCTGCACTTGGGGGGCCCCGTGTTTCAGGGGACAGGGGGTCCAGAGTGGCCTGGAGGGTTAGTGGGGGGCCTGGTGCCAGCAGCAGCAAGCGACCTGGTCCCAGCCTGCCCCTGCTCTGCCCCCATTCCACCCCTTCCCCCAAGCTCCCGCTCCACCTCTTTCCAGCTTCCGTCCCTCCCCCGAGCGACGCCAGGAGCTGGTGGGGCAGAGCAGGGTGGGCTGGGGCTGGGTTGCTTGCTTGCTGCTGCCAGCCGCCCCGCTAACCCTCCAGACCACTCTGGACCCTGCATCCCCCCGAAGCGCAGGGCCCCCCAAAGCACGGTAAGCCCAAACATTGGTGGAGCCGGGCTCACATTCCTAAATATTGGTGGAGCATGGGCACCATGGGCCCATATAACTTGCTGCCTATGATTACAGTCGCATCTAGAGGCTCCAGCTGAAATCAGGGCCTCATGGTACTTGGTGCTGTGCACACATGAAATCCCTATCCTGAACAAAAAGAAAAGGAGGACTTGTGGCACCTTAGAGACTAATCAATTTATTTGAGCATAAGCTTTCGTGAGCTACAGCTCACTTCATCGGATGCATTCAGTGGAAAATACCCTGAACAGTTCACAATCTAACTAGGCATGACAGAGCCAGGCTGGGAAGGAAAACTGAGACAGAGAGAGAGGTAGTAACTTGCTCAAGATCACACAGCAGGTGTGTGGCTGAGCCAGGATAGGGTTGCCAGGTGACCGGTTTTTGACTGGAACACCTGGTCAAAAAGGGACCCTAGTGGTTCCAGTAAGCACCACTGACCAGGCCATTAAAAGTCCAGTTGGCACAAGGCTGGCAGGCTTCCCACCCAGCTCCCAGGAAGCGGCCAGCATGTCCCTCCGTCTCCTAGGTGGAGGAGCAGCTATGGGGATTCTGCGGGAACTGCAGCAAATGGGAGCTGTGGGGGTAGCCTCTGCAGATGGGGGCAGTGCGCCTGTAGATAAATCTCTGCATTAAGCATCTTTGCATAATTGTGTATCATTTTCATATGACTTTGTATTATGCCTCTTCATATAACCTTGTATTAAGTCTATCCACGTGTGACCTCTGTTTTCATTCAACTTTGTGTCAAGTCCTTTGATATGGGAACTTTGTATTAAATCCTTATATAGAAACTTTGTATTGAACCTTGGTATAATGTTATAGCCCCTAACGATAAAGGTAGAAGAAAAATGTCTTTTTGCTAGGCGTAGAATAAGATCTCCCCTCACTTTTAATCAATTGCCCTGTTGAATGAATGAGGTGCGAATGAGTAAGGCGTGGAAGGCAAGCACCTCCAGACAGCTGCAACAGTTGGAGAGAGGATGGAAACCAGACTCAAGAACAATAGAACTTGTCAAGCAGTCTCATTAAAGAAGATCAGACATATTGACAGCCTTGGGAGTTAGAAGCAAGCACCTTCTTTTGAAAACACCCCCTTTGAAAATAAATGTGGCAGCATGAAAACAACACCCAGAAGGAAGCACCACAGATGACCAACTGACACAGATTTTGAATCTAGTATAGATTTGCATGAGAGGGGAACTGCTATAAATGCGAGGTATCCTGCAGAGGACCCCAGGATGTCTTGTCAACATCAGAGCATTGATCCGGATTGACAGAAGCCCGACTCCACCCCTCCCGCATCTAATGCGCCTGGCCAGTGAACTTAAGGGGAGGAACTAGTTGGTAACAATAAGACGGCGTGTGCTTGTGTGTGTGTGTGTGTGTGTATGTGAGTACATGAGTGTAATATATAAATGTGGCAGTTTGCCTTATCCCCCCTGAAAAGATTCTGTGCAATACTTTAAGTACAACACGCAGAGCCCCTGTGGCCACCCCTAGGCCTAGCAGAGGGATGTCAGCCACTTCCCAGGAGCTGCCGAGGTAAACGCCATCGGGTGCCCATGCCCATCACCCCCTCCTGCACCCCAACTCCCTGCCCCAGCCCAGAGCCGCCTCCTGCACCCCAAACCCCTCATTCCAGGCCCCATCCCAGAGCCCACCCCCAAGCCCTCACCCCCAACCCCCTGCCCCATTCTGGTGAAAATGAATGAGTGAGTGTCAGGCTGGAGGAGAGTGAGTGATGGAGGAAAGGAGATGGAGTGAGCCGGGCCTCAGAGAAGGGGCAGGGCTGTTCAGTTTTTTTTGCAATTAGAAAGTTGGCAACCCTAAGCCAGGAGCAGGATCCAGATCTTCTGAGGCCTACTCCAATGCCCTAGTTATCGCTCAACGCCAGGCTCATGTTACCTCTCCATGCCTGTTCTGGGAACTGTGCTATGGTTCTGATGCAAAGTAAGTAAAAGCCATGTTAGATTTAGCACCATTAGGAGTAAAAGGGGAGAAACAAATCCCTGCTCCTTTCCCTTATGTTGGTTCCTTCTTCTCCCCTTCTCTGGTTCCCTGTCCCCCCCTCTCTCTGCTTCCTTCCCAGCAGAGCAGAGATTAGCGGCTCCAGGTACTAGAGTCTAGGAAGGGCCATGGCAGCAAAACTATAATAAACTCAATGTAAACCCCTGATGGGGGAATCAGGGAGGGAGGGAGCAGATAAAAGAGCCACCCCTGAGAGTCAAGGAGCTCTTACCACTTCCAGTGTGACAAACAATCACACAGTAAA